TTTGCGAATGCAATTATTAGTAACGCCACACCTCCTCTACATCCCATTAAAATTGATATATGCGCAGGAAAAACGCGAAAGCACGAAAAGGCAAGAAAAAAAAAAAAAGAGAAAAGAGAAAAAGTTTCGAGACAACAACGTCTTACCTTACATGCGTCAATGTATGTTTGTGAAATATGGGCGAAGAGTTAGTTGTTGTCTTTCGTGCGTCCATGCAAATAAATGTCAGTTTATTTGTACAAAATATACTGCTTTAGGTTTCCCATTGTCATAAATGTTGGAACGTTGTCCAAACGTTACTGCAACACTTGCACTCTGATTGACCGACCGTTCGCTGTCGCAACTCTTACTAAAACATCTTACATTTTGGCGATTGACCGGCATGCACTCTGTGCGTCGCTATCCACCGAAAAAAAAAAAAAAAAATCAACGAAAACAGGTACATTTATATACATTTATAGATTATATATTGTATATTGTATATTGTATATATATACATATGCGCATATATATCTATATATATATATATATATATATATATATATATGCTTTTGTATACAAAATATGTAGATGCGACGATTACATATGTACGCCTATAGTAGATACATATGTATAAACGATTTATACACGTGTAAACTGCAAGACCCCTCCAAAGGCGATATTTGTGAATATTTACTTGTGTTCCGTATACGCTTTACACATGTTCATACATATATCTATATATGTTTCGTTTTCATTTTTTTTTTGTTTTTTTTTTTTTTTTATATTCTTACATTTTATTTTTTTTTATATATTTTTTTATTTTTATTTTCTTTTCTCAGTTATACATGAATCATGGGAATTCGGCGTTCACGCTGTTGATGATATTGCTGGCAAATGGTTTTTTCAGCTGATCACGATAATGATTTGTGGTGCTCGGCTTGAAACTGAAACATTGATATTCTTGTTTTGTTGAACGCACCGATGTATGCATGTTGCTCGTATGCATGTATATGTGTACGTGCCATAAACGTATATGTACCTGAATAAGAATTAACTAGCGTTGAAGGGTCAATAACCGTTTAGTATAGAAAAGGTATTGGTTAAAACAGGTAGAAGTGCTTTTTAGACAGTCAGGTCCGACAATATATGATTCGCTACTTGTCGTCGTCGTTATATGCGATATTCGTAATCAAGTTAACTTATCCAAAAAAAATGCAAAGATGACTGTCATAATAACTTTTACTAAAAATGAAAAAGTGTTAAGCATTACAAGGAAAAAAAAAAAATTGACCCATTTACTGCATTCGATCGCTAAAAGTTATGTTAATTTTATGCCTAGACAATCTTTTAAAATTTAATATATTTATTTATTTTTTTTTTTTTGTGTTTTTATTTTCTTATCAAAGAGATAATAATAGTTATGACGTGTTTGTTATTAGAGTTTTTTTTTTTTTCTTCTTTTTTTTATATATATATATATTTTTTTTTTTTTGGTTTATGTGATATCGCATCTTTAATATATTGGACGCCGGATGTATGTTCCAATTCAGTGACAAATATTTGCAAAACAAATTTAAGCAGACTTAAATTTCATGAGCTACAATCTATTTTTAGCATAGCTCTTAACCAAAGATTCACATCCTCTATCTATCTAACCCTTATAGGAGAGTATGTATATGTATTTTTGAATTTAGATATGTAGTCAATCGACTCGTTTAAATAAAGTGTTCAGATAATAACGGCCACGACGCACCAGTACTCGCTAGCTTGCATAGTATATCACATAATGTGTATATGGAGTGTAGTCGACTGCACGGGTGCAAGGGTCACATATTCATTTCAAGGCTTATGTTGGAAGTTATCAAATAAATTTACATTTTATGAACATGAAAATTGTCGAATATTTATTTATTGAATTCTTCAACGTTAACTATCATGTGAGACTTTCAAATACAACCGGATTTCGAAAGACGAGCGAGTAAATTATGATAAGCTAAAGTGTATGGTGTGCGAAAAATTCATGAAAATATAGGATCGGTCGGGCCAATCAAGTCAATTCGGATAATTTGAGTTTTTCGCATTCCAAGAGAATGCCTTTTAAAATGATTTCGTTAAGAGTCAAGGCCAAAATGGTCTGGTAAATATTTGCCATGAAAGATATCATCCAACTGTCTGACAATTTGCTGAGGGAATTTAAGAAATTTTGAATCTTATTGACAAACAAATTGTATTCCTTTCATTCCTTTTTTTTTTTTGTTCTTTTTGCTAAGTCTGCTAGTAAAGGATAAGGGAGAATTGAAAATTGATCTCAGAAAGCAAAGTTCTCCACCAATCGCTTTTGATGATCATCAAACGTCACATTCTTAATGCTGTCGTTTGGGTGAAAAAAAAAAAAAAAAAATATATATATATATATATATATAAACCAGCTAAACCAGCTACACATAGCACTTTGATTATTAGTAAAATTTTCATCAAACTTCAACTTCAAGATTTATCACTCATAAGAATGAATTCCTTTATATGAGGATTTAAAGAAATAATTTCGAAACGATTTATGGTTTATGAAAAAGTGACTGAGAGTTAGTCCATTTTCGTATAAACGTAATAATATATACAATTGCCGCCGCATCGTGTAGGGTATAGATATACAAGCAGAAAAGAAAACATTGCAACAATACGCGGGTGCGCACATTCGTTATAATCTTTGCTCTCTCCATACTTATCGCAAACGATGGCCTCATTTCAAATACTTTTATACGCATTTCAAATAAATTTATAAACTGACTCGCGATATTTATTATTGTTTAACTTTCTCGCTTGTCTTTATATCAACAATATTTCGAGTGGGCTTACATCTCTTCGAGAGGTCGTTAAGAAAGTGATTTTTAAATGATCGCGATCGACGAGAGACGGTTTTGTTTTGCTTTCAAAAAAATTTACATTTTCCGAAAATCTGATCAATTAATTACAATCTACTTACTTCACTTGAAGCTCATTGTCATGATAAGTTCAAGTTTTTTTTTTTTCGATCTACGCGTAGGAATACCATGCACTAATTTCGTCGGCTCAAGATATCATATTAGTTCCATGAAAAATTCGTGATTCGTGGCCTTTTTTTTTAATAAAAATTAAAAAAAATTTTTTTTTTTTTTTTGCATTTATATAAACCAAGGTAAACTATTGGCATTTCTGTTGTGCGATTGAGATTTGGGACCGTAGAGATTTCTGGTCGCACAATGATTCTCACAGTATACTTTTAAAGTCAGATTTCGAGAATGCAGAGCGATGAAAACATATAGTAATCGGACAGGATACATCATAAGTTCCACGCCCAGGTTACCCCTATAAGACAAACATCGTCCAGCGTTGTCATGACGAAAGACTATCATTTCGTGATGATTTATTTCAATTGCGTACTTTACTAATGTTATTTATTGACATGGGCCAGCAGAAAGAATCGTCTGGCACGATTTGCTTCTAATCCCAGCAAACACAAAACGTGATCGTGCACGAAGTCCGTCCAGGCACAGTCTCTCTCACATATTACGCTTGCGGAATGGCCCACCAATCAGTCTTTTTGAAAACGATTCGATTGCGTTTACATTGCGTCGGAAATTCGGCCCATTGCGTTTTCACTATTAATTCATGTTGTGCCCGAATATCGAGATTCTCTTTGTACTCAACTTTATCCAGATGGTTTCCTTCCATTTCTTTGAAAAATTTTATTCACTTTATCAGCAACCGGCCGACCACCGTGTGAACCGTGAAACTGTGGTCTATAAGATCGAAATATTGAGAGTTTTGAATGGAATTTCGACTCACTTTCCAAACACAATTACTTTCCATTTGTTTTTCTTTTTTAATTATCTACGGACTGTATCCTTTCGCACACGCTATTGTATACTTCAATTGGTTAATATTGTCAAAGTTGCGCCTAAATCCTTCTATTATGGAAAAGGTCATGAACCTTTTTCTTGACGAATAATCTGCGGTATAAAGTGGACATGACTTTTTTTCGCCTCCACAAAAGATGGAAAAAAGCTTTAAGACATGAACGACTCAGAATCATATTCTGTTTGTCGGTCTGTCTGTCTGTCTGACCATGTAATGGGGCCTTTTTTGACCCAACGAACGAACGCAATTGAAAATAGATTGAATTGGATCAGTTTTGGGGACAAATACCGCCACTCTCCACATACCATTCTATTTTGTAAAAGCGTAATTTTCAAAGTTTCCCCACAAAAAATTGCTGAGTAATAATTGTTAAAAATTTGTATATGATTTTTCGGGCATAACCATTTTGCCCTAAAAGCCTTTTTAATGAGAAAAAAATTTTATAGGATGATAATAGATCCATGATAGCAATTGAGCATAAAAATTAACTATAAAAAATTTAGATTACATAGGTATATTCAGGTTGCCCCACCTTATATAAAGTTTTCGTAAAAAGTAAACCTTAATGACAACAAAGTCGAGCTTTCTGTTCTTTTAGAGAAAAATAGATGAAAAGTAGTGAAATTTTAAACAAGAAATTCGGACGAAATCTTGAAAATGATTAGAAACAACCGAACACGCCCTCTTGTTATTAAGAAGTTCCAAAAGTTACGTTAGTTCACTTTTACTTATTAAAGTATGGAGTGGCAAGAAAATTGTACTGATTATATAAATTATTTATCTCAAAAATGAAATAGACGACCAGGCCCATCATACGAAATTATATATATATATTGTATATAAATCAATTTGTCTAAAATTTCTAATAATAGTATGGAATGCCAATTTTATTTCACCTTATCAACTTGTGGTACGATGAAATAGGACGGCGGCAGGTACACAAGATTCGGTTTCAACCTAATAAAAATTTCTTGTTTAATAATATCCATAACATTATCGTGCATTTTATAGTTCTTTCGCTTTGCTTTCTTTTTCTGATTAACCAAATTTCCATGTATTGCGTTCTTTACAAGCTAATAAATAATTTCTTTTTATGTTCATAGAGGCGTCCTTATGCACATGACATATGCGGTGGCGAGCTATAATAATAATAAACAAATTCTACAGGGTTATGATCAGCGCAACCACTGAGATGAAGAAGTTACGAATGGAAAAATTGCCGCACCAACAATGTTACCAATTTATTTTATTTATATTAATATAAAAAAACCTTTTCTCCCTTTTTTTTTGATTTAAAACATTCGGTTCACATTTCGATTGCTTGCATCACATATATTTCCGGTAGAAGCCAAATATGGCAAATATTGGGAAATATTATATGAAAGTGATGCATCATATATACAAAGATTTTTAAAGATGTATTCAGAATAGACCTCAAGTTCTTCTAGGTGCATATCTGAATAAACTTACTGCCTCCAATATAAAAGCCCAGTAATTCTCCTTTGCTGCTTCAGCAGGATGACTTTAATATATAATATATACAAGGTTTATAACTTCTCTGTGCTCGGTGGGATTATAAATTTGGTTGGTCTTCCATGTTTGTCTTTAGAATACTGTTCATCATCACCATGTAGTCGCGTTAAATCCAGATCTATATTTGTCGAGCTGTGCGTAATTCTAGCATGCCTTTACTCTGAATAACAGTTGTAGCTTCATGCTCACTTCACGTTCTCTAATGATACAATTTTTTTTGAGTGGTCGACTTTAAACGATCTTATAACCGATTTTCAATATATATTTTTAAAAAATAAAAAAAAAGATTAGAGCAATGCTTTTAATATTAAGTTTATGGGTACGCATGCAACGCCAAATGCGATTTAAAATAAAGCCACCGTTTGTTATAGCTATAGATTCAGAATTAGCTTTTGATTCGATTGAAATCTGCCGCTCTACCTATTTGTCCGACGCTGTCCATATACTTCGCGCAGACATTATTTATTCCTCACTAGTCATTTTTTTATAAAACATATCAAAACACTTCAATGCAGATATAAATGGAGTTGCAGAATATTATGATGTTATGTGAATTTTACAGTATTAAAAAAAATTTCCACATATTATCTAATTGTTTCTGGCCCTTAAATCCACGATTAAATGTCATATATTTTTTAGCGTAATGCTTACCATTAACGGAACAAATACAATAAAATTAGCAATAGCTCATTATATACAGATAATATGTACGTATGCATATAATTATATTATTAGTAGTTTCGACTTTATTTACAAAATTTCTATATGGATTCACAATAGTATGTATCCTAAAGTATATATTAAGACTATAATAAAAAGTATCTTTCTAATTTCTGAATGTACATTAATATTCATATAACACATAATTCCAATAAACGAGTAACCGAGAGCTCCCTCCTGTCAAGTCCCGCAAAAATTACAAAATTTGTTCTTAAGCAAAACCACCAAAAACAAAATACCCACAGCTGCTGTGAAAACTTCAACACTTATAATCTTGGAGTCGATGATGGCGTTCAGCATTCTAACTGGCGACTCACTTCGTAATTCTCCGCCACAACAATTTTCCATCAGATTATTATATGTAATAAATTGTTAAATAAAACAATAGATTGAATTCTTTTCACAACTTTGCTTTTCTAACACAACTCAAAGATAATGAATCATACCGTAATATAAAATATTTCAATTCAAGTGTTACCAGATCGACGTTTTTCTCAATCGCTAATATTTTGTGGGTATCATAATTTTAAAGTAATTACCTAATACATATATATAGATGAAAGCGGTTGTGGTGAGGTCATATCTGTTTGATTTCTAAAGCGATGAAATTTTATAATTGGATATTTTCCCATTCTTCATAAAGCAATAGGACATTTAAATAGCTTTTTTCGTATCGTAAAAGTAGAATTTCTTTGAAATGAAACGAAAATAGGAAACATATAGGAAACTAAACACACCAGTTCAGCCAAACAGCATCGCATCAATGTGACGTTACGTGACCTACTAACGTTCATTGCCGAAAGTGTTTGAAATATAATTCCAACGCTTCAATTCAAATATAGTTAGCGTACCAAAAACATTAAGGGTTAAATCAGTTAGAAACATCTAAAACGCGGAACTCGGCTAATCCAGCCCTAAAATAAGAAACTTTTAAATATTTAAAATTAGATGAATGAAACTCTACTTTCGACGATGTACGTAGTTCAAAATAGACCACAAATTAGCGCGAGCCAAGTGACTTAAAAAAATTATATTATTTTCTTCCAATTTGTTGTAACCTGTATGCGTTTATATATCTAAAGATTTTTAAATAATTATTTATTTATTTTGCCTACACTTTGCTAATAAATCCAGCGAAATTATATTTATTTCGTATACAATTAACTATTACAAACCGATATTTTTTTGTAATTCATTTATTCATCGTTAGCAAATTCTGCGGGATTTTTACGCATTAAGTGATGATGTCGTGCCTCCACCATATTGTAAATAAGATATCCGACAACAAATGCTATAAGCAGAATTATTTAGATTTCTAATGCAATTCTGATAAAGTTACACAACTTACGTGGTACCACGATAAAAACATTGGACCGAAGGCGACGGAATACATTCGGTAGACCATTTTTGATGGCTCCAGCAAAGGCTCGCTGCTCAAACGGTGAAAGTTTATAGGTGACAATACCGTGCACTTTGGCAAGATTGCCAAAATGTTGACCGTTCAGGATAGAAGTTAGACGCATTTTCTCTACATTAAATAAAGTGCATTAAAACTTTTTTGTTGCTCCTGTTTCATGACAACAGATTTAAAAGGATTTGTATAAAAATGCAAACAGTAAATATGAACATTTAGCTGAAGATAGTATTATGTAATATGTTAAATAATTTCTACGTTAGGTTGCTGCGTTAGGCCCTAACTGTACAACGCTCGAAGAACTTTTATTATATTTTATTCTATATTTATATTTGCATTTTGTACTTGATCTTATTATGACATACTCAACTTTACCTTGATTTCAATCAAACAAAAATCCAATTGCAATCTTTCGATGCCAATATTATTATCACAGATCTTAGCCTTTTTTTCACTTTCTCTTTAATATGCCATTTCTGTCAACGTTGCCATAACTTGACGATTGTTTTTACGCGACATTACCGAGATGTTGATTTTAGAAGCAGTATTTTGAATATTTATGCTATGTAATTTTGTCTGTATTTCAATAATAGGTCTGAAATCTATAGCACCCGTTCGATATGTATATATCTATAGACATATAATAACTTTTATTTGAAACTGCTCATATGATTAGATTTTCTTTCACTATACGAACGTATGATGTATCATAGTTTATTTATGTTTTGTTTCCAATACATTCCGATTCTTTATCTTCGAAAGAGCAAAATCCCACCGTCACCTCACTTACAGTATATGGAGATAATTCTTTAAGAGTAAATTTGTTTGAAAGCAGTTTGCGAAATTTCACTGTGAAAACGATTAACCTGTCCGAGTCTACTCGTTGGAACTCATCAGCAAGCTGTTGAGCGACCACGTAATTTTCGACGATTTTAGATCTGAGTTTATAAATGCAATAGGCACGACTTAAATAATTTTTATTCAATTCAATTTTTATCAATCACTCAACTTACAAAATAAGGCAAACACATAAATAGATATATATGTATGAAATAAAAACTAATTCATTCAAAAACAATACACGAATGTCCAATAGAGGGCATTAAACGCCAAAAAAGTAACGGGAAACAAAAAACGTGAACGGCGATCAATCCACATAGCAATCTCTTGTGGCGTCATTGTTGTAAATGTTGTATTTTCGCCACCGGAATTCAAGCCATTGGAGTCTTTATTGTCCAGATTGATGATATGCTCCGAGGTATCGTCTACCGATTGTGTGGTGATAATAGGAAGATTCTTGAAAAAGTTTTGAAAATTATTAACAATTGACATATGTATAGATGAAAGTAGGAAATATATTTTTAAAATTTTAACTAACAAAGATATAAATCAACAATTTTATGATGATTCCGTTGAAGAGAGTCTTTAAAGAATTTAAACCTAACCAACACTCAATAACAATATGTCACTCAATACGTTCGTGTGACGTATTGACGAGTCCAAACGCTTTTTAGACAGAGGAAACGTTTGAAAATGTCGTGACATTCCGACCATTTTTTTGACGTCGACCATGGAACTCAGATTATTCTTTTATTTTCCAAAAACATAATTACCCAAAATAAACTTTCACTTTCGGAAATTTAATTGATGGCCATGAATTAAGCTTAAGAAAGCAAAATTTCAATACATTTCGTTTACGTTCGATCAAATGTAATGTCATTAGTTGCAGAAAGGGTTTTGAGATGCTGTGCATTCAAGAATTATCTCGAAAGTCGATATAAAGTTTTTTTTTTTCTTCTACTTACATGTACTGTTAAATAATTGTTGAAAGATTGATTAGTGTTGCCATTGGCGACACTTTCCGAACTAGACACAATGTTATCCAAACTCGAGCATGAGCGCGTTCTTGACTGATTGTTTAAGCCCATTTGACGACGCGATGGTCGTGGAGTAAGTGTAGATTTTATAATATATTTACTGTTGACTTTTTTCAATTCAATATTTTCTTTTCGCCGCCAAATTGTATTGACAAAGGCGAATTCGACCAAGCTACCGAATATAAAAAATGTACAGCCTAAAAACCAAACTTCGGACACTTTAATGTAACTGACTTTTGGTAGTGTTTTACTTTGCGATGAAGATAATGTGATAAACGATAACATAGTACTAGTGCCTGTAAAAGGTTATTTTCATCAATTTTTATGTGCAGACAATGATATAATAGGCAAATATATTATTATATTTACCTAACATAATTCGTGGGGGCGATGCATCCGCTTGCAACCAAAAAGATACCCACGATATGGCGACAATCATCATTGAAGGTAAGAAATAGTCCATGAGATAAAATCCAATTTCACGATTTAAGTTCATAGTAAAGCTTAGCGAACTATAATTCCCACCTAAGCATGAATAAAGTAAACAGGATATTGTTTACATCTACATATATAAAATTTTATCTATATAATAATATTATCCTGTTTTCATTTTTTTTGTATGATTGTAAAAACTGTAATATTTGAAATAATTCTTATTGATAGATTGATAGATTTTTATCCATCATTTGAATCCAAATGTCTGAAGGATATAATCATTGGGTTCCCTTTCACATAGGTTTCCTCAACACATTGTATGCATTTACAACCATTTGTCATATAAATGAATAGAAAATTTGCCTTTGGCAATTCTGCATATGAAGGTGTAATTTTTCAAACAACAATCCGAAATTATCCGAATATAGGTAAGCGATATGAAAAGATCGTGTTTCGAATATCCAGCTTCATTTATCATTAGCGACCGGTTAAAACTATGACGGACATAAGAAAATGGACACTGAATAGCGATACTTCACTGCAAGCCATATGGAGAAACGTTCTTTCGATCTCAATTTTTTTATATAAACATTATTCAAACATCTACCGAACGAACAACAATAATAATAATAATAATAATTTTATTGCAAATGATTTAAGAATAAACCGAACTGACTAAATGCGCCATGACGTAAATTGACGCCGTCCGAGTTGACCGCGGTTTCGTTTATCCAAAATCGTTGCATATTATATTCTGTTAAACGTAAGTCTGGATTAAATGATATCGGAGAATTTTCCTCCCATTCGAGGACCAATTCGGTGGTGTTGTACATCCCTATTAAAAACAATGAATAAATTGAAAATTTGATTATTGTCATATAGTCGGCAAGCGGCAGGAAGCGGTAGGAAGCTAAAGAACTCACAGCTTTCCAGAATGGTCGAACAAAATTGTTCGTCGAAGGGGAATTTTTTAAAATTCATCCAGCAATAAAGTGTGGCTTGAAGACGTGTTGATATTATGATTCTACCTTCCGGTGAGATTGAAGTAAGTACATCTTTTTCATCTGTACCCAAGATGCCGGACTCTCTTTCATTGGCAAAAAATATATGGGGCAACCAAAGTCTCTCGCTTAAATGCTTTTGTCCCAAAATATTTTCCTTCCGAGCGGGTGCATATTGTTGATACGCGAGACGACTGTCAAGAAAACTAAGCTGCAACAGGGCTTGCATTTTAAATTGCAGTAAATCCGAATTGAGATTCTGCATATAGTAGATATAAATTCGGGCTTTGACTTTCACTGGCAATCTTTCGCCCGTTTCACTGTACTCTGCAATAATCCTTGTAATCAATCGCTCAGTTTAACATTGTAAATTTTTCCGGATAACCGGATATCTATCTTTTACTTACCTATAGGCCGTTCTAAACGATCGTAGCGACATACATGAGTTAATCTTTGTATTAATTGACTCTGTTGCAGGCTGGACGCATTCGTCAGTGATGGACATTCTTCGTCAAATTCTATTGCTGCCAGCGCCCTACAACGTATAAAAATTTGATATCATAACTTTTTTTTTTTTTAATTAAATCGCATAACATAAAAACAGAATATAATTTAAATGGCGTTTGTTTTTTTCTATGTATATTTATTAGCTTTGAAAATATTTAGGAGGAAGTTCGACGGCGGACTTGATCTGATTAAAAATTTTGCGGTGTAATGATTGGATATAAGATTATCGCGAAGAATTTCTAAATATTGAAAGTGTAAATATTGCGGACGCCATCAAATGTCGCAAAAGTCGATTGCTTAAGAAAAGCAGATTTTCTTTAATTGTGGGCGTGTCAATAATTATGGAATTTTTGTCGATTGCTTAAGAAATGCAGATTTTCTTTAATTGTGGGCGTGTCAATAATTATGGAATTTTTGTTCATCATCAATCAATAAACCGTAAAGACTATCAACTTCAATTTGTCGAACTATACCATAACTTTGTATCGTCTCTTGCCATTTTTGGGCTTCTAATAGTACCGAGCAGTGACGCTAAAAACATTTGATTCGCATGTTTTAATAATGGGCAAAAAAAAAGAAAAAAAACATTTTGCCATACGATGTTGGACAAAGTTCATGGGATGACTTTCGTTTTATTCGTTAATGCGCAAAAAAAAAAAAAAAAAAAAAAAAAAAAAAATTATGTCGACTAATATTTGATCATAAAATTAATAAAGATATGAAAATTTATAATCACCTAAAATCTCTTCTTATTGAAAACGCTCTGACGTTTTAGAACAAAAAAAAAAGAAGAAAACATCGTATGAACGCTTTACTTATCAATGCTTTTTGATTCGGTGAAAGTTAACGCATCAAAGAGACTTTAATTGGAAGAAAATGAGCTCTTTAAACAAGTGCTTTTTTCCCGCTACACAGAGTATATGTTCTTCAACTCATCATTCAATAATAATGATATAATAAAAATCTTATCCATTTCCTGACAAAGTTTCGCTGTCATATGTGATATTTAGCAAAATCTCTGCAATTCGCTTTGTCGGCTTTATTCAATTCCTTTGTATTATCGATTATAATAAATTTTAAAAATACATTTCCATACATAATAATAATAATAATAAGAATAAATAGTTCATCGTCGCTGAATATCGTAGCTATGACATCTTTATATTTGCTTTTTTACTTCACACCGTTAGATTGTTTACTAATATCCGACGGAGAATTTGATATTGTCGGATGAATGAATCAATTCCATCTAATATGAAAAAAAATTGAATTTCTTAACTATATTGCGTGCAATGTGTGACTCTATGCGATTATCGGGAAAATACAAAGCTATATGCACGAGATCCGAGTGTTTTGACATTTGGTATATACCGTGAACCTTTAGGTTCATTGGTAACAAAAAAAAAAAAAAAAAAAGAAAAAAATGCATTTGCCTTTAGCTTCTACTGTTGACTAATAAATTTATCTAACCTATTAGTTTTAAGTTTTCATTTTATTTTTATTTTTTTATTTATTTATTTTTTTTTTTTCTTTAATTTGTTTTTTTTAAAGTATTTTTATATCTAAGTCCCTAAGGTGTGTGGAGAACTTTATCTTATATTTTATATAATAATGATAATGAAAAAAAAAATAAATAAATAAATAAAAAAAAAGAAAAGAAAAACAGTAAACAAACAGTAATAGCGGTGACGTATGATTAATATTCATATGCATTTTGCAACAACAACACTTATACGTCATGCAAAATAATTTATACGTACACATGCACATGCACATAAACACATATATTCGAAATTTAAAATAGTTGTGCAAATGATTTTCAAAATTTGTGCGTACAAAATTGATATATATATATATATATATATGTAACGTGTCCCTGTTGCTTATATGCCAACATTGCCGGGTGACAATATATGTGCTTTGCAAATACTGAGTATAAACGCAATAAATGTAAATATTTGTTCATTTATGAATACGCGTATGTCTGTATGTTTACAACGAAACGAACAACATTTAGATTTTTATACGCACGGAATCGCATTTTACGTTCACGCTTTTCACACATATATGTTTGCAAGTCTGTATGCGTTTGTTAATTAGATTTTGGCCTATTGGCGATATTATATTATCTCTCTTATTATTTAATAACATATATGAATGTGAAGATGTGAATATACATGAAATGGCTTAAGAATGACAATGAATGGGAGATATGATATACGTAATGTCATCGGAAATCGAAACATATATCTTAAGTGCTTTGCTTTCTCTTTCCTATATCATATTCATTACATTATACATTATACGTAACGTAATTTAAATCATTTACTCACGATCTAAATCTATTTCATCCTTTCAAGTAATAATTATTTGTAAAATTTTAAATGCATTTACTAAACAATTTTATCGCTTAATTTATCGCTTATAGCAATGCAAAAAAAAGCAGAAATATCGTTCAACAAGTCTTTGCAAGTTCTCAAATTTGCGCTTCGATGAATGGCGATGGTAAGAAAGAAAGTCAGATTTTGGTACAGTCATCACTATACTTAGATTGGTCTGATTGTTCCTCATATTAAGTAAGCAGGCGTTTTTTGTTGCCATAACATGAGACTATTCTACAGTTATTACGGCCGCTCTTGTTTTTGTCACGTTTCATACATATTTCGGATCACAATTACGACATTTTATTATCTGGATATATAAGCCAAAAATTTATTGGCTTAGTCCATCTCCAACCAACAATCCAAAAAAAGAAAAAAAATAAATGTTTTTGTTGTTAAACATTATTAAACAGGCGTATATTATTGTAAGCCTCAAAGCTGTTTGCAGTGCGAAGAAGATTGCGGCAGACGCAATACAGAAATAATTTTTATTGCTAGCACGGAACTCACTTTCTATATATCATAAAATGTACAATGTTAACGAACGAAAATAAAGAAAATCATGTTGAAGGAACAACTGATGAAACCTTAATAAAATTACGTTCGTCAGGATTAGTCCAAGAGTGGATGCCAGCAAAAAATGTAATAACATCTGCAAAGGGTGCGATTCCAAAAAATAATCCTCCTACACGGCAAGCGTATAAGGCCTTAGCAAAATACAAAAAAAAAAATGGTGGAAAAAACCATCCCCTTACGCCTTATTCTTGAATCGAAATATTTGCTTAACTGTCCGAAAGAACCGACGGGCAGATGGAACAAATGCCCCTTAAAGCTGAACAACTGGACCGATATGATGGAAACCTTTCGTTTAGACGCTTACTCTTATCCAGATATTCGTTCTCATTCAATCCATTATTCAAACGGCATTGTTTCATTGATCTTTTTTCTTTGTTTTAACACCGCCGGCTATATCGACCATTACCAGATCACCGTTTTAAGAATAGTATAATATATTATTTATTTTTATATTTTTTTTTTTTTTTTTGGTATGTTGAACAGTATAATATATATTCTAACGATTCTAAGAAACAATTTTCAATTTTCAAAATATGAATTGATTTTGTATTGTTCAACGGTTGACAGAGAGTGTCAATCGAATTAAAATAGAATGAGTGCAGTGCAGAATGCAGTGTTACAAGTCAAATTCAGATAAACGCAATTCTAAAGATGCGACAATGATAATAAATGGCCTCGTTATTCATAACGAAATCAAACAGTGTTTTACACTGTTTGCTTACAACTGAGCATGAAAGAGGAAACTAATTGTGTGGAGTTTCCCCATTTCCGGAAGCATAAATTTTTACTAGGAGTCTAGATAAAAAGAGATGAGAAATATGTCTGCTACAAGAGAGCAGAGAATATCGCTGCATTGAATGCAAACATAGGAGGAGGAAGGCAAAACCAAAATAGGGATAAATAAGAAAAAATTAATTTTCTTTCGTAAAATTATACAACAACTTTCATCTTCGCCTATGTTTTAATGTTGATCAATGCGAGGCGTATATCTAAATCTAGATCTAAATTCTTCTAAAGAAATTTTCGATTTCATTAAATATTGTTTATTTGAAAGGCGCTTCTTAAGCGAGAATTTGTTCAAAAAAAAAATTTGAATTGGAAATAAGACCATCGAAGTAAAAAACCTGAACGTTGCTTAGAGTAAATTCGAGTGATTGCGAGTGCACTTTCAAATATGATGATAAGAAGAACGCTGTCACGTATCCAAAGCATTTCTCTCACAAGCAACGCACTTAATAAATCATGGCCCGGCTGCTCTTACTACTTAAGTATGTCCAAAACGAGGCAACATGAAGTTTAAAAATAATTTTATATATTCGGATTATCGAGAGTAATTGCCCGCCCCGAACCAAAGGACCCATCCATATAAATGAGGATATTTTCGCTATTCATTGTGATTGGAAAACCCGTTTAGTTTATGCGTCTATACGTTTGTGTGTGTTGCATGTTGTGAAGAAGGAAAATAAAGTATAAGCAGAGACCGCTTTGAAAAAATTGCAAAAATTATTTGATAAATGAATACTAAGGCAAAGTCCTACCCCGATTATTTCATATACGAAATTTAGTTTGATTACAAAGCTGAGAAGAATCTCAATTTGATAGTCTATAGATATAAAGCACAGAGATCTACACCGATTTAAGCAAGGCCCTTGATATAATTAACCTATTAACCTGTTATTATGTAAATTGTTCCTTTCAAACTTTGTTGTGAGACCAAATCCGTTTATTCTATACATCAATGATTTCCGCTTAGCTATTGAATTTGGCCCCATATCCTAATGTACGCAGACGACATCAGACTGTTAATTCACTGGTTAATTCGGAAACTCAATTATCTCTCCTCTAAGCCGGCGTAAATAATTTGGTAACGTGATGGTTAAACCGATGGAACGAAATATAAGAAGCTATCAATTTCGAAGCGGAGAACTGGTTCGCAACGGGTTAGTTTATAGACTCAGTTAGGCGGAAGAGCATGGATCTCAATTCTTGACCTTGAACTTCAATTCAATTTCCATATTGGACACTCTGCGAATAAAACTAAATCAGTTCTAGACTTTATCAAACGCTAGTCGAGGAAATTTGACGACCCGTATATTATGAGGAGATTATACGTCACCCTAGTGCGCCAAGCATTGGAATACGTTTCGGTCGTATCATTGCCATGTGAATTCCATTGAATCTTTGCAGAAGCAGTATTTGTTGTTTGCTCTAAGAAATTTGTGTTGCGATCTAAACGTCCTCCTCCCTCCGCCTAAAAACACGACTATGCTACTTATATCCTTGCCGTTACTCAAGAAACGTAGTATTGATTGTATTTTATGAGGAAACTGATTAATGGTACCATTGACTTGCCGTTTTTGTTAAGTGCGATTAATTTTAACGCGACCGTCCGTTCGACAAGGGACTTTCGTTTTATTAAATTTACCCAATCCACTTAGCAATCTATATGAGGTTTACAGTCTTATTTCCTTATCGGATTCTCTTGCATTCATTAAGATTAGTCGTCTTAGTCGCCCTTGCGTTGCCCGCGTGATACCTAAACTAATAGTTAAAGCCTATTATTCGGACTTTGATGACTAATCGGTAGATGCATGTTTCCATTAATTGCCTAACGTTTTCACACATTTTTTTTTTAACTCGTATTGTGATTAGGTGAAGTCTTCCAATTGTATGAATAAATTAAATTAAAAATTAAAACAAATCTTTCAGTTGTAATGCGGATATATTCCCACAGATAGATGGTAAAGGGGATATAACGGCAAATACGGGGGGTATAGCTTTGGTGTGCTATTGAAATCTGATGTTTTGAAAAGGGCGAAAAGATTATAGTCACGCGTTATATTTTAAAACACAATGGTTTGCACGGCTTACAACCATCACACAACACAACACTTCCATCATTCGAAGCATTCTTTGGTAAATTGGGGAAAAAAAACTTGCCCAAGCAAGGTTTGAACGATGTGAAGAATCAAAATCAAGAAGTTAACTAAACAAAATAAATATCGCCTGCAATGCTATATATAGACTATAGATAGAGTTTCTTTTCACATGTAACGGACATTTCGATACTCGAGAGAGATCGTATTAAATATGTAGTTAAATGCTTGTATACACGTGTATACATATTCATATGCATGCATAAGTGTCTGTTTACAAGTGTTTTGATAAAAAAAAGTAAAAAAAAAAAATAATAATAATAATAATAAACCGTTTACTTTATCTCTAGGGGAGAAAAAAGTCGGAAAAAGAGTTTTCACGTAAGAGCACGGCACATATGGAAATGAACGGATGCAAAATTTACTCACGTTCGACACTTGATTGTCAGGATGAGAAGCGTTAGAAAAATTGCCTTGGATCTATTAAAGTGCATAAAACGAAGCATTGTCACTTGTCATTGGTAAACGATCAAGATTGGCGATCAATTGTTTTTCTTTTCTTTTTTTTTTTTTGTTTTTATTTTCGTGTTTTCCTTTTGTTTTTGCTTTTTCAATATCAACTTTTCACTGTTTGTTTCCGCGTTGTAGATTCAAATATATATATATATATATATATATATATATATATTTAAATATATATGAACTATTATTTATTATGTTTATTATATCAATTTCGGTTAAATTGTTATTAATTTTTACGGGATCTGTTATCTTATTTTTTCTTTCTTTTTTTCACTCTCCAATTATTATTATGCGGCTATTGTTGGCATCCGAAATACTTACTTTAAACTAAAAGTACTTCTGGTGTATTCTTTCAATTTTATTGTTTCAAGATACTGAAAGAAGTATGTACGTACGTATGTAAGTAAGTTCGTAAGTGTATAAATAATTTTTTTATTAAATTCTTGATACATACATATGAATCCATACGTATTTTAACTAAGTTCTTTGCTATAAATGTAGTGGCTGGCGGTGTTTACACTGACTCTGATGTTATTTTTATTGTCATAATTCGTTATGAGTCGTATAGAGCGTATTGCCACGCTCAGAAAACCCTGTTCGACCGTTTTGCAAACCTTAAGCTTACTCGACTTTGTTAGCAGCAATAATAATAATAATAATAATAATAACAGACATAGATAGATAGATAGATGCATACTCTCGCGCAATTCCTGTGATCTTTTATGGGCGAACGATAAAACTGATTATACAATCATAGCTGTTGTTATTTGTATTATACTTAAAAAATCATTTCGCCAGATATTTCTTGTTGTTGTTGTTAATGTTTTTTTTTTTTTTTTTTTTTTGTATTAAATATTAAATATATAACATATAACACATAACAATCGACAACTTTGTTGCCTTTTTGGCTCAACTATTCTTCCAATTTCTTACATCTCCGATATTTTCTCCTTTATCAATATACAATATTTTTTAACTTCTGCCTTACCAATGAATGTATTCTACAGATGCGAAGCCTATCATTGTTAATTCCAGAATCACATAATAAGCGCTTATGCATGTATTACGTTGCATTGTGTTGTGTAGAGATATGATCCCGCGATGATTCCGATGTTTCTTACTCTCATCCTGTTTTAATATGAGCTAGAGATGAGGAAGCTCGTGTCTATGCATTCGCGTAAATGGAAATATTTTATTTACGAGTATTGTCTATGCGAGACATCTGCCTTCGACAGACTTGGATAGGTATGGATTGAATAAATCGAAATACATCTGATGAGAAAGACTCTACATAAGAACACCAATGCGTAGATAATCGTGAAAAGAAATCTGTAGTCAAATGCAAGCTTAGCTTTGGAAAGAATATTCTACATTCACCATCTCGCTCTTTTTCTTTTTCGTCGTCACGGCACCACCTTGTATCACTTATTTGCGTTTAGTAGGAGAAGACGATGCGGCAACGAAATAGAGATTAAACGCTGCATGATGATTGACTTCACTAAAAAGGAATGAGGCTAAAAATGAAAGCGTCAATGCCGCCAAAACTCAAAGTTTTCTTCTAACAAACAGAAAAAGTAATGAACAATCTCTTTCTTTTGGCATCCAATGATGCTAGGGGGAATGAGAATCCATGTTCGTTGGACAACATGTGTGTTCGAAGGTTCAAGGTTATTTAGAGTAATGCAAGAAATTGTTTCACTGTAGTCGATATTCGTACTATTGACGCCTCCTATATCCGATGAAAGTTCAGAATATAAGTCGCTTGTATGCACGGGCGTAGCAAAACTTTGCTTGGAGCTCTTCAATCTCATAAAGCGAAAAGTGAATATGCTTATGGGTATGTCCAATATCGTTGTCTTGATATCATTGACCATCGGCATAATGTGGACTGTGTTGTGTTTACGTACAGGTACAACCAGGTCAAGTGTCCTTCAGAGATAAAAGAGATATATCCACCCATTAAGTCTTTTAACAGGACTACACGGCTTTCTCAGCTTTCCCACCCATTCGTCCTGAAGTTATTTGCATACCGCATAGCACACTACTATGACTCGTCGTTTTTTAACAGTACAGCCCATCTTTGGAACAACCTACCAGCAGTGGTCCTGACCATCGTGTCTGATGGCTCGATTTTCAAGTCCACCCTCCTGTCCCTATAAACCTATAATCCGATCAGCACCGTGTCCGCAGTTATAGGGGACATCCCTCGAAGGACGGGTCATAGAAATAATAAAAAAAAAAAAAAAATGTAAATTGTAAAATTATTGCACCGAAGTTTGAAAGGCACTAATAAATATCACAAAAATCGTAGATTTTTATGTATACCTTTGGATCCAATTTGTTGACAGCAATGTTTTGCAATTGAGTAAATCACTTCGCTCTATGATCTTCGTGAGTATGATCCTCGAAAAATGTATGCGACTTATTTCAGACAGTTGCCCTGATTCTTAATACATGAAGGACTCTATAACAGACAATTGATTGAAGCGTACAAAAAGTTTTTTTTGCTTTTTTTCCCACTGAAGGGGAGACCGTAATTTGAAATTTTGCATTAAATGGACAAATGCGTTGACGATGACGTGTCTTCATTCGCTGTCTCAGATTTATTGAGCGTCCACAATTAGCCCTACCCGGTAATTGTTATTGACCAGCATCACATTCCAATGATTCTGACAAGTAGTTTTAGTAAGATAAGGCGATATAGCATTGTTAGGAGTGCCGAATCATGATACCAGCTATGGCTATTCCCAGAACACAACGATAAGAGGATTGAGTTTTCAGCGTCGAGCCATTGCACCGTATTATATATAAAGCAGTGAATTACGATGAGCTGCTGTACGATACTGAAAAAATGGACTATATCGTGGATCGGTTAACAAACCCAACCCATCTTTCGACGACATAGTACTGGAAGGATGGAAAAAGTAACGCGTGACAATACCTTTGTAGGAATAATTTCTTAACATTTCTTAAGCTCAAGAATTCATTTACTGGAAAGAGAACTCAACGCCTTTATCAAGCACTTGTCCGGCATTATTATGTGTTAAAATGACAAAATGAACATGTCCCTGTGTCCGGATGGTAGGTGTAAATATTTTGTCACAAGTTTTTTTAGATATAATACGCAGTAGACATGTCTCGTAATAGCCCATAATAATAATAATAATAATAATAATAATAATAATAATAATAATAGTAATAATGTTCTTCGGTGTATTTATACGTTTTATTTATAATAATTTTTAGAACGTAATCTAATTTAATAAATAAATTCTTTTGTAAATCACCGCAAAAGCACGCACAAACATACACGTTTTAACAAATAAGAGATTATCGAATCATTTGAACAAACGGATCCCCTATGCACACAAATATCTACTTATATAAACAGATCTTCCTATATAAAGTCTCGCAAGTATATAAAACTTCATATGCATATTATGTATGAGAATAGATTTATTTGTATATTTCTGTCTTTTTATAGAATTATTTAAGCTAATTGTGTACATTGTAAACAATGCCTGATAATTACGTGCACTCAGTACATTAACTAAATCAAGCGGTACTTTGAAGTTATATTCATTAACACAAAACAACGTGCGTATATATGGCAAATATTTAATCCTGTGAAAGTAGAAGGTCACCGAAATTATATGTTTTTCTCTTTCTTTCTTTCCATCTTTTTTTTTCTTTCTTTCTCTTACAATGGACGACAAGGTTAACAATGTTAGTTACGGAATATTTAATCGGCCTTACGTTATGAATTTTTCACCAGCATAAATGTATTCCTAGGCAGGTCCGTTATTTCTTTCAAGCTCGCTAATGAATCACCAATTATTAGGTATTTATTGGTATATATATGCACGGTATCGCATAAACAGAAGCATCCACATCCACGCTTTTGTCTCTCTTTTTATTTTAACTTTATTCTTATATCACGTCTTGCTGCGGCTTTGAAGCCGCGAATATTTGAAAAGTTCTTATCCGCATACTAATATTGAGAAGGAGTCAACTCAATCAAAGGATACCCCTGTGCAATTTTATATATAAAACGAGAACGTATTCGTCCTTCTCAAAGCAAAGGTTTCTCGGCTCATTACCCATAAATTTCTCTAGTGCTCTAGTGCTGCCAATTCGGAGGTCTTTCGCAAGCACAAAAGTAGGGGACATATGATCGCCGACTAAAGTATTCTGGAAAAATCTGCAGACAATAGGCATTAAAATCTGCTTGTCATATTAATCCTCATATATCAAATAATTATTTTCGAGAAGCTAACCGCTTAGCTAGTAACTGCTCTATTCTAGAGATAAAGGACTCTATACAAGATGGATGGAATGGACGAAATTTGAAAGATGGTTTACAGTAATAAATCTAATACTCTAGATCCTGATAATGTCAATAATGAATTTTTAAAACTTGTCCTTCCGACCCAGATTTAAGTATTTAAAATCATTAAAGCTATTTTCTAATAAAGGTATGGAACTCTCTACAGCTTAATAACAAGGCTATGGTTAGTAGCAGTGTATGCGTTTAGAGCAGCAATTAGGAAATTTTAGAACTCCTATACATAATTATCCTATAATAATTATGTATAATTTTTTAAGCTACCCTATCTGGAATTTTTTTAAATTATTTATGCCCAAAAGAGACCTTCTAGTCTTACTTGCACGACAAATCTATTTTAATCTTAATTAATAAGCGATTCAATTGTAATTATTTAGTGATTAATTATTGATTAATAATAAAACTCAATATATAAACTTAATACTTCATTTTATAGTGAAATTCGGCGACGTTACCTGTATGAATGAATTTTTTAGTTTCAAAAGGGTTCTTAGATAGGAAAATACCCTCTCTTTAAATAAAATTGCTACTAAAATAACAAAAAAATAAAACAATTAAAAAAAATCAATTATTTAAACTAAGATTAATTTAGGCATTTACTCTTTTGCACTTCGATTTTCCTGAGCTCAATCAAAGCCTTTTGCATACGATGAAAAAAAGTTTCTCTTTTTCTCTTTATCGAGGTGCAATGCAGTACTCTTCAAACTTTTATGTATAGGCGCGCATTTACGATATTATGATAACGCATAAGTTGACTTAATTAAGTAACTTATCCGCCTGAATGGCCGAGTAGGCAAGAGTCTCGACTGGCAACTTCAATGGTCGTGGGTTCAAATCTCAAGTGCGGTAAAGTTTTTAATAAAAGCCGATAGCCTTAGATGCTAGTGCTTTTAAGACTTTAGCCTTAGAATTTATTCTCTGGCTAAATTTATAATAATAATAATAATAATAAGTAACTGAATAAAATTGCTAGCTGCGATCGAAAATGATATAATATTGTTTAATGAACTGTACCGGTACATTCAATTTTTATAACTTACACCAGTTGTAGTACAGCGTACATTTAGTGCAAGCATATGTAACATGCAGAAGGGCTTAATATAGACCCATCTTTTATTATACCGATCGATTCCGAATCATAATCTGAATTGATTAAAGCTTGTCTGTCCGTCTGATATCTGTCCATGTATATTTATGTTCAAGCTACAGGTTGCAGTTTTTGAGATATTTTGATGAAATATGATACAATCACGTGTTTTCGCCCAACGAAAAAACTCTCTTGAATATGGTTCGGTTCCATTCGTTTTTTTGACCACTCCCCCCCGTATAACACACTATTGAAAAGTAGTTATATGAAAATTTCTCGACAAAGGTGGCGGCTAAGCAAACTTTCGGCCGGATGGGGCAATTTTTCCATCCCTCTCTTATAGCGAAAACTGATGTTCCAGCGACGAACAAGTGTAATTTTCAATTTTTCATGATGAAAATTACATCTTAATTATAATTTAACATAAAAACGTTAACCGTACCAAATTTGGACCATCATAGCCTATATTTTGGATCTTATTCTAATAAGGCTTTGGATTCTGCCCTATGTAACCAATAAACTTGTACTACATTAGGTTGCGTTTTGGGCCCGCCTCTCTGTAAATACGCATATGAAAAATATGCCTTTATATAGAAACAAGATATAATTTTTGTGTTGTATAATAAAAATAGGAATTGTATTAGACAATGTGTGGTAGGGTATTTAAATTTCGACCTTGACCGACTATAATATTCTTATTTGTTTATTTAATTGTTCCTGCAATTTTTAATGCGTAATTTCTAAGTTTATGTCCTAGCATAAGATAACGAATCTGCAAGTTACAATGCAATGGAAAAATGATGTTCTTTCGAACCAAAACTCTGAGAAGAAGTTTATTCAGAAACCAATCAGAAATGTTTCCATGAGATTCGCTTTATTATGTCGATGAATTTCGTCTTTTTACCTTTCTGCTTAACTCCACTATTTTCTCATTCGGAATGCTTAATTAACAACACTTTTATTTTTTTTAAGTTCGTGGTTCCAAGCAACTACCGTACCATCAGCAAAAGACGTATCGGATCGTAACGTTCAACTTCTTCTTCTTTATAAAATTTTTCATAACGAAATTAGGTTTCCTCTCCAATGTTATTTTTTCTTTTACTCCTGACAAGTAACGGAAAGTTGATGTTAGCAACACCTGCTTCGTCATTCTACTCGTAAAAATCTTTGGCTGAACTTGTCATTCAAATACAAAAATTTCTGAAATTTTGACTCGCTTGTACACGATGTGTATAACGCGTTTAGATGATTACTTCTTGCTTATTGATGTAGCAGGAAGTTAACACATTTTGTTACGTTACGCGTCAATATGTTGCTCGTCAGATGACCGTTTAGTAACAAATTGTCTTATATAGCAACAGTCAACACTGTTGCTTTTATCCAAATAAATACAAATGTAAGCATCGTCAAATATTCAATTTTCTTTTATTTATAGAAACGGAAACTATCGAAAGTATATCAAAGCCAAAGCGAAGCTTTGGTGCGACTATAATTTTCGGCGACGAATTAAACAAATATCTGTACTATATTTTACAAGAGCGAATGAGTTACATTTTTTAAAAAGTTGAATAAGTGCGTAAGCATATTCGTTTGAGAATTTTAAATCGCATTTCACTTTCGCAGAGTACGCAATCGCGGCACATCAGAACGAGTTGCTAAACGGAATATCATTTAAGATAACACATAATTATTGGGAATTATTGGGAAGCAACAATATGCATTCCAGCAAAGTTTTTTGTTTCCATATAAATAAATTGCCATTGGTGTGTTATGTGTGGCAGAGACGGATCATAAGTTCTCCACATTCCATTTGCAATGATGTAATATTAGTGAAAAGTGAAAGTTTTAATCACTATCGACAACAGCGACAACAGCAACGTATTGCCAGCAGTTCAGCGCAACACACGAGCAATAACAATAATGCTAAATCAACGCCGCCTAAACATGATTGGAATCGAGCAGTTAGTGAAGCGGAACGTATTGTAGGCTATCCCACTTCGTTTTTGAGCTTGCGCTGGCTGCTTAGCGACGAGATAGCGAATGTGGCTTTGCATTTGCGCAAATTAGTCGGCAGCACCCACCCGCTCTTAAAGACAGCCAAGTAATTTAAATTTGGCACTTATCAACCTTCATGATATATGAATGTGAGCTCACATGCACAAACATTTATATTTATAGGCATTTGCTGTATAACGGCAAGAATACGATGCAAGCGTGGGGTCTGATCGTTTTGCTTGTATCTAAAGCAGCTGGACACTCACCAAATATCTCAGACATGGAACAAGATAAAAGCGCTGGCGTTTTGCATACCCAACGCGGCTTAGCCGAAATCACGGAAATGATTCGTATATCCCATTTGGTGCATAATGTATATGAAATTGCTTATGTATTCATAAATTATCGCTAAAAACATAATTTCTTTTTACCCCTGACAGAGTTTAGTTAATTTGCAAAAAAAGAAAAATTCCAGTATTCCAGAAGACTCACCTACCTTTGAAGACATGACATTCGGCAATAAAATTGGCCTATTAACAGGAGATTATTTGCTAGGTCATGCCAGTTATGAATTGGCCAATTTACGTAATCAAGAAGTGGTTGAACTAATCGCATCCGCTATACGAGATTTTTCTGAATCTGAGTTCATCGGTGAACGTGATCAACAGAACAATCCTTTACCTTCGAAACCTGAAACAAACAACATTTCAGCAAGGAATATCGGTGCAAACAACATCGATTTCGATGAAAGTGATTGCGCTAGACCGCTAAACATTAGCAAAGTAATGGGCATTCCTGAAAAGGAATGGGAATGCCGCAACATATTGAACGCGGGAAGTTTGCTAGGAAAGTCTTGCAAAGCTACATTAAAACTGGCTGGTCAAAGTGAGGAAATGCAACGACAAGCATATCTCTTTGGCAAGCATCTTTCTTTAGCTTGGCAGGCCTGTCTGGATGCTGAACCTTTTCAGGCTACGACCTTACCCATGGGTAGGTTTAAAATATATATATATATATATTTTATAAATATTTTATTATTACCCTTAAATAACATATAAAAATTGTCTTCAGATTGTACTTTTAGTTTGGTAAGTGCCCCGGTACTTTTTCACCTCGAATATGATCCAAATTTATACGACGAAATCGAAAAAGGCAAAATATCGATCGAAAATGTCGATTACATCAAAATACATAAAGCTATATTGCAAGGACCCGGGTTGAAAAAAACTAAACAGCTACAACGTAAACATACCACTGCAGCTATGCGAGTGTTAGAGAATTTTCCACCCACTGATGCCCGTACAGCTCTTGAAAATATTATACTAGCCATGCAAGATCTATAAACATATGTTTGACTTATAAACCCATTAAAAACTAATAAATAGGTGGTGGCTACGTGAGTACGGTTACGCGATTTAATGAAAACACACATTTTATATACACAACAAACTTGTTAATTTTTAATGTTAACCGCTGTTGGTTATCTCTAACAAAATTAAATGTTTACAACGCTCATATTGGAAATACTGTGGAAAGTCCGTGTGGATATAGTCAAAACGCCATCTCTTGTGCATTGATTTCTTCAGGAAGTACTCGAACATTGGAGCAACAGCTTCCAATTCGGAAACTGTGAATACGTAGCGCTTTTCTAACGCAATATATATATTTTTTTTGCGTCTTGTAACAATTTCTCTTGCGAATATGTTGTCCAATACTTGAATGAAGGCATCGGTTAAATCATCGTCGTATATCACATCAGCAGCTACCACCACATCACTTTCATCGATAGCCTTTATCAGTTCTTGCGAATATTGCGCAAATGGCATTTTAAAATCGCATTCTAATACATTTATTTGGCCGCGCATATGTAATAGTTTTTGATTGCGACAGACATTTGCTTGTATCAAACGTAATATACCTCCTATGTCCACGTCTGTGCAAAACACTTTGGGCACATAAATGGCAGCAGCTATGCTAGTTAAGCCCACACCTGCACCCAATTCTAAAATTTGCTTATTTACGAATTCGTGACGTTTGTGAAAACAAAAATCCGCTAATAATAAGGCGCCTCGCCACACTTGTAGCCCTACCAACCGTAACTCAGTGGCCTCGGAATGTTCTATTTCGATTATACCCAGGTCAAAGTTTTGGCGATTTCTTCTCTTCACCACTATATCACCATCTTTATCCAACGATGCACATGTATTTGTCGGGGTCGTCTCATCGCTGGGATACCTGAATTGAAATTTTGAAACTACTTTACCATTTGTGCTTTTAATGGGTTGAAAATTAGTTTCTTTATATATTTCCGAGGTAACAGTATTCATAATAGACAACGGCGTATCCGTGCGCCCTGTACTATAATTTCGCCTGTTTTATATAAGTTCCGTTGTACAGCAAACTATTGACATGAAAGTTGCTAACCATCTATATTGTTTAGATTGTTATTTATATTTATAAATAGAATTGCTGTTGTCCTTACCTTGAATTGCAAAACGTTTAGATGTGATTGTTTATGCATTTGCTGATATTTCCCGATTCTATGATGATAAGTTCTTCTTCTGTTTCATTCAATGTAAATTTTTGCTTGGAGAATTAAGAATTAAGAAATAGAAAGCAAACTGTTGCGTCTGAGCATACGGAAGAAAAAGATAGAAAGAAAATTCTTTTTACATGGTTCCTTTTGCCCCTTTCTCACAAAAACATTGAAATTCCAACCTCGATATGATGCTCGAAATATTTCCACCTGCTTTGTAAAATAAACATCCATCGCATAATTCTGACAACCTTATACTTTTTGTCAAAATGATAGTTTTATGTAAAAATCGCTAAAACTGCCGCTACAGTGATTGAAAAAAGCCACAATATTTTTACGAGTTTGCACACAATTCAAGGGGGTAATCATCTGAGCAAGCGATTATGGGCTGATTTCTTTTAGGAGACAATTGATTATCGCCAAGAGGCTAATCAGATACCATTTTCCAATACTTCATCATCAAATTTTCCATTTCTATGCATTAGTAATTGAGAGATGTGTAAAAAATGAGAGCCAAATTGACGTTTATTTCTTTTGTATAAACAAACTGCATATGGTAAACAATAACAAGCATGAAAAATGAAATTAGCAACACTATAGAGTCTGCTGAGCATCTAAATTTTGAATGCGGAAGGATCAATCTCCTTAGACAATCTTTCGCCTTCATTAACTTATACAATAAGTTTTAAGAAATTTTCCGTGCTAGCAATTATACACAACTCAAACAACTGACTGCCTTTATCAAATATGCTGATTTTTCTTTTTAATCTCCCTTTTTTTTTCCTACTATCTTAATAAGCAAATATACAGTCTAAACTCATAATTTTTTTTCCGGGAAATTTATCCGGAATTCGACAGTACAGTACTGGCCGCTGAACAAAGCAAATCTTATCTATTACACATCTGATCTAGTTTTCTGCGGAAATTCATCCAACTGTTACTCTCAATCTCATAACCAATATAACAATTCATTAGAAAAATTCCTTCGTCGTACGTTACTGATGCATAGGCGTCCCAATCTATAGTCTTTATTCATTTCTCTCTTACAAACCAAAGAAAAAATAGGAAATTACGTATGGTTATAGTTTTAAGTTTTTTATTGCAGAAAAAGTTTATTATTATATATTCTTTTTTACAGATTTTCCATAAAAATGAATGCTAACAGTTCTGATTTTTATACTGTTTTCCGGTGATTAATTCACGTAAATGATCATTATATGAATCTTATCTTCCGTTCCTGTATGACGAAACTCTTTTTTCTTTTATGCTCATATATGAACATATAAAGAGATTCATTTCAGTGCTTATTAAATTTTTACGTAAATATTTGAGCGAGTTAGAAATTTAAAACTTATTTATATTTTTGAGATTGTTGTTTATAAATTTTGCGCCAGCGATTCTCTAACTTGTTCCCCCAACTGCCTAAATTGTGATGCTTCAATACAAACATTAGCACCATTATATTTGTAGGTCGCCTGAAATGCTAGAGAATTCAAATGACCGCTCAAATGTGTGCGATTCTTTCCAGCTTCTTAAGGCTGTAGATGCTATTAAGCTCTTCCTGTAGAATACGACTGGAAGAAAGTTACGATACATTGGTCAGCATTGTTTAATTTAGCTCGATGATCAAAGAAAAAAAACTTATACTTACTTTTAACAAAAATTTTTTTCTATTTATTTTTTAACAGCTGTTGATATTTTTCTTTTGCGGTTATATGTTTACAAACACAATTTCAAAAGAGAGATTTGTGGTAGGTTTGCTTAGTTTATACTCAAGCTGATGCAAATTTGTTCTCAGCGACAGCAATTTGATTGTCGCCAGAGTTGACGTAAATCAAAGAGCGTATTTGGAGATAATCACCAGCAACTTGGCGAAGATGATTAGATTCTCTTGGCGATTGTCAAAAAAATTAAACATTTTTTCGCTTTATTAATACTATTTTACTTCAAAATTATAATATTTAAAAAACTAAAGTGTATGTAAACACACGCTATGCGTTATAAGCCAAGCTCAACGGCTCACGCAATTATTATGTTTTGCGCTTACAAAGGTTCGGTATTGCCGATATATTATATGCATCCTTATTATCCGTTTTTTAGAAAACAGCTAATATGGAGTTGCGCTAATGGATGTACGTTGAAAAACTATAGTTAGCATCATTGTTTGTTAATGCACGATTAATGAAGAACGAACTTTAATTTCGAGCCGAATTGGTGGTGATGTATTTTACATTTATGTGGTGATATTTTGTATCAGGAGAAATTATATAACTACACTTCCAAGTAATAGATTATGGATGAGTTAAGTAGTATTTTGGCGAAAACTAAGGATGAGTTTATTCAGAGAGAGCAAGATGAGGTAACTGCATTTATTGGCTTAATGCAAAAATGTATATGTTTTTCTTGTTTTTTTATAGATTCTCTTGCAGCCATTTACTTACATTCAACAGATTCCCGGGAAACAGATTCGCTCGCAGTTAGCATTGGCATTTAACCACTGGCTAAATATACCTGTTGAAAAACTACATCAAATTGTAGAAATCGTACAAATGCTACACAATTCTAGCTTACTGTAAGTAAATCTTTTGTTACAGTGTTCGGTACGGAGAATACAAAAATTAAATATAAGTTTTAATCAAGATGGAATAGCGAATTGATTGTAAAAGATCGATGTAGAGAACTGTAAAGCGCAATATCTATTTTCCATAGGTCATATCTAATGATGGCATTCACGCTCTAAATTGTTAAATGATTTCAATATATTTTCTTTTTCATATCTCAGAAAGCATTTCCACTTCACATCCTTGATGTGAACTCTGCAAAAGTAATTTATTGTCTGCAATAGTCAAGATGGAGTTATGAAAGAACATTTTTTATTTATATGAAGTGTTATTGATCTCAATTAATTATATATTATTTTCCATTGTTGCTAGAATTGACGATATTGAAGATAAGTCGATATTACGTCGAGGTGTACCGGTCGCTCACTCCATATATGGAGTAGCAAGCACTATAAATGCGGCCAATTATGTCTTATTCCTTGCACTAGAAAAAGTTCAGCAACTTAATCATCCCGAGGTAATTTATTACATATAATTTTCAATATCTCTTTTCTAACCAACTTCTGACGGATTTCCTATATTTCAGGCTACAAAAGTATACACTGAGCAATTGCTTGAACTACACAGAGGACAAGGCATGGAGATATATTGGCGTGACAGTTTCACTTGTCCGTCCGAAAGTGATTACAAATTAATGACTATACGTAAAACGGGAGGTCTTTTCATGCTAGCCATAAGGCTTATGCAATTATTTAGCGAAAATCAAGAGGATTTTTCAAAATTAGCAGCTATCCTTGGATTGTACTTTCAAATACGTGATGATTATTGCAACTTGGGTCAAAAAGAAGTAATATATCTATTAAGAGGTTTTTTGTAAATGCCGATCTTATGTTTTACCCACTCTTAGTACACAGAAAATAAAAGTTTCGCTGAGGATCTTACCGAAGGCAAATTCGGTTTTCCCATCATACATGCGGTCCGAACACAAAAACAGGATAACCAAGTATTACGTAAGTTGATATGCAATAATATTTAAAGAAATATTTAATTTAATTATAAATTAACATATGTAGATATTTTGCGTCAAAGAACTCAGAATGTTGAAGTTAAAAAGTATTGCATTAGCTTATTAGAAAAATTGGGTAGTTTTCAGTATACACGAAATATGTTAGAATCACTGGATCGAGAAGCCAGAGCTGAGGTGTGTTTTACTTTAATCATCTCATTTTTATTGATTTTGATACGATATTGTTCGTTTATGTTGCGTAGGTAACCCGTTTAGGGGGCAATCAATATATGGATATTTTATTGGATAAAATGCTGTTGTGGAAAACGGCTAATGATAATGTTGATTATATTGCCTGTCAAGGCGATACGGCTTTACCTGTTCAAAATGGTTCAACGTGTAATTAACAACCAAAGAGGCAAAGGAAGGATCTTTAAAGTGAAGTGATATCCCCTTCTTTTGCTGCAAAATCTCCGCAACATTTCGATTTATAAATTGTATGTAAATATATATTTATATATATATATATATATAAATATATGTATATATATATCTGTACACTTAATACTCTTCTATTCCTCTTTTAAAACATACGAAATACCACTCGATGATATATTTTGGCTGTTGAATGTTTATATATATACACAATATTCTTTTATAAGATGCACAATATATAATTTTATTCATTTATTAATACAATTACTACACAAAATGCTAAGTCAAAAAGTGTTGAACAAATTTAACAATGTTTCAACGAGTTAAACTACAATATTAACAATAATAATATAATAAACGACATTTATCAAAATTGTGTATATAAGTTATGTAGATGCCGCTGATAATTTACGACCGGACAAAGAAAATAGTGACTGTTAAAAATATGAACTAAAATCGTCAGGCACTCATAAGAAGGGAGAGAGGTCAAAATATTTAAATCCTATCATAATTGTTCGTAAATATCACGTTTATTAAGTATTTAAATTTATATTATTTCCAAGTTGACCCGCAGACAAATTAACATTTTTTTAAAACAACTTTTGCTTATAGCCAAAGATAGAGATTTCAATGATACTGAAAGACAAATCCACCTAAGTGCATTTCGGTATTCGGGTCAAGACACGTATATAATTTATATTTAAATGCTTGTCACCTAAAATACGTGTACGTATATGAATCTCTGTTTCGCACATATTTATATTTATGTGACTAATAAATGCTTGACAAGTGCAACGTACGCTTTGTGTTAGTTATAATAAAAGCAGTTAAGGAGCAACTTAACCTTCAGATGAAAGGGTGACAATTCAGTAAGACTATGGCAATGATAATAAGGGGCCATCATACGTACATACATATATAAATATTTCTGAGTTTTATAAAGGTAACTACAGATCTATTATACCTTAGTATACAGTTGATGTTTATATAAAAAAAAAAAAAAAAGAAGAAGCTATCTAAGCGATATTTTGAAACTACATTTATACTCGATTGACAAATGAATAGGTATAAAAACTTTTGTCTTCGATGAACATAGTTTTGTTGTTTTTTTTTTTGTTTTTTTGTTTTGTTTATCACAAGATTAAGTTAGATGTATTTATGGATCTTTTTGCACTTGGTGAACTTAATTAATAATAGTAACACTAATTCGCACAATGATATGAAGAGGAAAAAAAAAATTTTTTTTTTCACATTTTTAATAAAAAGACATGGTAGGTAGTAACATGATCTGTTTGTAAATTTGTACAAAAATTTCCAAGTAAGCAAAAAAGCTTTCGTCGAATTGTAAAAATTTTAAAGTATATCCATTTGTTTGAGTGTCTTTACTTGTTTAAATTCTGGACATTTCGCTTCTCCGTTCAAACTCATATGACAACCGGATGCGAGCACAAACGAGGTACGCTGTGACAATTATTGCTTCAAATGCAAAAACTAAATGGCTTAGTAAAGTAATTATTTGAGAGTACAATTTCAGAATATATATATATATATATATATATATATATATATAAAATCGACAATTACTTTTTTGGGGATAACTGATATGTACGACAGAGAGAATTCGGGAAACTTTTGCGTATTAGCATTTTTCTATAAACTAATCACGACATTCGAAAAATTAAGTAAAATATTAAGTAAATTCACTTTCAAGAATGGTCTTTAATAAGGCGTTCGCTTTCAAGTCATACGTTCCAGTCTGTCATCATTTTGCGGAAATCATTTAGCGAACCGTAAGTGTCAGAGTCTTCATTTCCATTTTGAAGAGAAACTGTACTATTTGTGTTCGGACGTGGCAGCGTCAGCGGGATCGGCAACAGTTCTGGCATTACGGAATGATGTGTTATGAGGGCGCGCAGTGAAGAAAACTCTTTTGTGAAGCCCTATAAGTATTTACAAATTACCATTGGCGTATATATATGTACATATATATATAGTTATATATTTTATTGCAAAGAATAGTACGAAAAGTTATTACCTTTATTTTATAGCCCCTTTGAGATCTTAAAATTAAATAATGGGCAACCTTAGGAGCTGGTGGAGGTACACGCAGAGACAAAGCAAAACAGCCCGGCTTGGTTGTACTCTCACGTACCAAAAAAGCTCCGGGATTTTGTCTCGATAATACTTCTAATGATATTTCTCTAGGAATGCCAGCTTGAAACCAAGGAGCTCCTTTCAATTCATTCTGTTCTGTCCGGCTTAAGCCTTCGAAACACATCGAGCCGGCAGATGGAAAGAGCTTCGGGCTTGAGTTGGCTGAAATAAAAAATGACATTAATAATTATTATTTTAAATTTGATAGCAGTTTCATTACCACTGCAGGTTTCTCTGAAGTACTTTTTTTTATAACTAAATTCGTTACGATCGGTAAATTGCTGGGCGGTGTCAAGCACTGACAAAGATTGTCCGTAAGAGTCCGCATAACGGCTAGGTAATAATTTCTCTGGCTCACAAATCGCCTCGTTTACGTAACCATCTGATATTGTTTGAGACGATCCTGAATTTATCGATGACGATGTTGTGTTTACCAATGGGCGACTTTCTTCTGTAGCACGCAACAGACCCATGCCCATAGTTAATCGTTTCACCTACAAATGTTATCAGTTAATGAATGCAATAGCGGTGCAATCTACTTTCATCATTCAACATTAAATTAAAGAATATTTTAAGTCTTTATAAAACACTATTTGAAGTAATGGGATTGGAAATAAAATTAAATCCTAACTATTTTGATTTCAAAAGAAAGTTTTTGCGAATTTTTTTTTTTGTTTTCTTTTTAGACCTATTAGAATAGGTCTTAATGGCTTCGAGGTTACACAAGTGCTAAAAAATAAATAAATAAATTAATTAATTAATAAATAAACATATACATCGTTATGTATTTATTCTGCCTCTGCCCATCACTGAAGGATAAGGGTGAATTCATTTTGTTTTTTTTTTTTTTTTTCACAATGTATGTAACTCCCAAGAGGAAGGTTCAAAGACTCTATAAAGTTTACGCATTCGTGAGCAGCGTGAAATTCTGAATTGATTAAGCGGTGTCTGTCCGTACGTACGATATTTGTTATTGGCACTCTCCTGGTCACAAAAATTAAGATATCGACTTCAAATTTGATACAGACATTGGAAGTTGTTGCACGTAGGTTGGGCGAAATTGGTCGGAGCAGGAGCGCGCAGTGAACGCGATTCTGTTTTTACTAACAAAATTTTTGGATTTTTCCTCCAAAACTATAAAAGTTAGAAGGCTGGCATTTTCTACAGAATGTTTAAAATCATTTTGTACGTTCCTCACATGAGAAGATATATTATCTACCTAAGAATGGGTTAATCCTAAAATGAACATGCTGAGATTTTTTCCTTAATAATATTAGCGATATGGATATCAAACAAAAGAATTTGAAAAGTAGAATGCGAACAGCATAGGTGCGAGAATATGGTGGATTCGTCTCCCGCTGAATATAATTTTCTTATTTATTAATTATTTTATTTCAATTTATTGAGGGGTATTTAACGTAGATAACTATGTAATTTCGTGATTTTTGCACTTGTTCCAAAAATAGGAATGCATATAAATTGAAAATTCTCATTTTCATCGTCATTTTCTTTTCGTAATAACTTCCTTTCGTGGCGTTATTTTCGCATCAATCAATTTTCATTTTATAAAATTCAACAAGTTCATACTTACTAAAGGCGGCTTATCCACTAGGCGGCGACAATTGTTCATTTCGGTGGGTGAATTGTCCTCTTCGGAACTGGGAGACTGCTGCACCCGATTCAATTGATGTCCTCCAACATCGTTGCTATTGCTAATTATAACGCAATTACTTTTAATTAGAAAACAAAAACAAAAACAAAAAAAAAAAAACAAAAAAACAAAAAGAAAACCCATACTTAAGTGTGCCTTATAACATACCTTAAACTTATTTGTGACAATAATTGTATAGGTCGCCTTTCATTTGTGGGCGAAATATGTGTCACCGATGGCTCTACACGCAATCGTATGTCCTGCATGCTTTTATTTAATCAGAGAAGCGTTTAAATGAAATCTCGTCAAAAATTCAATATATTCGTGTTAAGAGAAAGAAAAATGCAATGTTTTTATTCTAAAATATTTTCCGCACGTATATAAATTGACTTTATATGTGTATATTCAATTTTAAATAAAAGCAGTTTATCGTTCCTTCAATTCAACAATGCATGAATGCATGCATGCATGCATACATGCATAGAAACGAAAACATTTTCTCAAGTTCTTAATTCTTATTCTACAAAACGGGTTCCGTTGTATAATAAAGTGAATGCAAGTGAATGAGCGAAGAAAATGGCAGTGTTTGCTTGGCAATTGGTGGTTACTTCTAAAACGACTCACCATAGGTTTAACTTTTTATTGCAAAGCAATTACTTTGTGTGATCGGTCTAGTCTAGGCGATCAGTAGCATATATATGTATATATTTATTTGTAATTGCATTGAATGTTATTTAAAGGTAAACGAGTCCTTTTGCATTGAAAAGCTTGTACTGCCAATATATTTTATATATTACACACCATTGCACACATATAATGTAAAAATAAGTGTAGAAATTTTTAATTGTAATGTGTTCACATTTAATTATGCATTACGCTGCATTTAAGATATAATTTAACCTGTCTTTACAAAAGCAACAAGTGAATAAAAACTTGTTACATTACAGGTTAATATATCGCTTAAAGGTGACTCGTCTTAAGGGTCTTTTGATTTTAAATTCAGATAATTGAAAGAGAGATGAGATAATGCGAAAAATGATTTTCATTTCAAGCACTTGCTTGACCTATACCTTTTTGAAAATAATGATATTCACATTGCGTTTTCTTTTATTTTTATTTTAATTTTTATTTTTTATTTTTTTTAACCATCTTACACGTACAGAGTGTGTTTAATCTTTTCTCGGTAATCCAGTGTGTTGAACAACAGGTTTTCCATTATTGTGAAATTTATTCGTTGCTGTGCAAATTTATTATTCAGTGATTTCGTACATTTTCTATTTTCATTCGGCGGACTTGGTTTTTCTTTCGTTTACACACAAGTACTTATGATGCAATTGAAATGAATTTTTAATTCTTGCACTCAACTCAAAAGAGAAGACTTTTTTTTTTTTTTTCTTTTTTACTTCCTTTGTATGTTCTTAAGTTTTCGCGAATTTTCTGATATTATCACATATCGATGCATTAGCGAAGATCCAGTCGAAATTTAATGTGCATTCCATTGCACAAGAGTTTAATGAACTGAGCAAATAGCGTAAACAATGCTATGCTGATATTGTTAAGAAGAATTTTAATGCATCGCATTCAATCGATAAATAAATGTTGTCAACCGATAGGAACAATGCTTGCTTATCAATTTCTTTTTCATTACTAAAATTATATGAAAACTATTACTTTTCGGAAGAAATCACGAAAAGATCGGTTTTATAAAAAATCAAGTTACGATGTTCTTAAATTATGCCGACCTTTCGACGTTTTATTTTGTTAGTTACATCTAGAGATGCCAAGTTTAATGATCTCTCAACTCATGCTCTCTCAAATTCTAAAGGGATTTTCGATATTAAAACTTGTTGCAATATATATACATATATATATATATATATACATTTTTTTTTTTTTTTTGAAAGTAAAAACGGATTGAGAACAAATTTCGGATGGATGGTATTTTCTCTGTTTAGCTTTTGGTTGCATTTTTCCTCTTCTTATTATTTTTTTGTTAGTTGTGGCAGGGTTGCATTTGTCTCTTCGACCGCCGCATTCTTGATTCTTTTAGTTCAACTTGATCTTGAACACTTTTTCCACAATCAGTTTATATTTGATTCTTGCTTAAATGTAAATATAATCAGATTTGCATTTTTAATATTGAATCAATTTAATATAAGCCATTATGTCAATAGGATTAAAATGATCAATAACAATTGATTCAATAACGGATAACAAAAAGAGGTAAGCAAAATATTCAACCGATCAGGGTTCAGATGCACTGCTATCAAATTCTAAGACCTAATCTCATCATTTTACATAATTATATGTGCGTATATATGTTATTATATTATTTCATGATTAGCTCTTTCTTCATTTCTTAGGTCTTTCAATCTTTTGCTCTTCCCATATCGAGCGTAATCTTTAGACCCATCATCGAAAGATACGGGGCATATGCATTTTGTCCAAATGTTTGCAACACCCAGTAGGAAGCTTGATAGACTCCACAAGGTATATATATTTTTTTGGATCAGTATCAAGTTGAGAATCAATTTAAGCATGTGTGTTGTAAACATTCTCTTAGCAGTAAAAACCACGTCATCGGACAGACGGACTTGCTTAAATTGATTCAAAATTTGATGCTGATAAAGTGAGTATATATATACATATATATATATATATATATATATACAAATATAGTTTACCGGGTCTCTGATGCTTCCTTCTGGGCGTTGCAAACGTTTTGTCAGCTTTCGGTGGAGGGTATAACAGGTAAGAAAATGATATTCAGTCGTGACCGAATCCTTTATGCCCATCATCGTGAAGAAGAAAATTTTCACGCTCTTTACTATTGGATGGATGCGGCTGGTTATTTTTCATTTCAGAATAAAAGTGAAGAGTATTTTATGGGCAGTAAGCAAAAAATATGAAAAGCAAAGGTGTTCGCAGATTTTGTTACATAGGCCTGTGGGCGTGTTTGGGTAATTTTTAGATGCTTTTGCAAGTTTTGGAAGCGATAGCATAATTTCTGCCAACAGTAGAATATTTACCACAGATATGATACAGTTGCGTAGACGGACAGACGAATAAACAACTGGACAGACAGACAGACATGCTTAAATCGCTTCGAATTGGTTCTGATAGTAAATACTGCGATGAATTCGCATTCGGGCGCATCGGGCTTACATAAATATATACGAATACTATCCGTATTCTGAGAGATGGCTGAGTAAAATTCTTCGCATCCTAAGTTTTATAGAAACACTAACTACGTACGTATAGTGTGTTAGTGTTGCACTGCCATTAACTGGAATATGTCCACATTCATTACGTTTAACCAGAGACTCGCTAAATATTGAGTTATTGTGTTGTAGAATAGATTTTATTACGGATTAGATCTAGACGGATGCTATCGACAGCAGATTTGTCAGATATGTCTGTTCCTCATATGAAGAATTTCGTAATTTCGTAATTAATAGCCTCTGCTGGTTTCTTGTTGTTGTTACAATACATCTGTACAAATTGCTAATATAATTCTTTAAATTCGGCCAAACAATATTTAAGATTACGTTGACATTTTAATGTACGCTCCATGGCAGGATCGAAAAAATCTTTCAACATTTTTTTCGTCATTCGCTTTAGAATAAAAAATCCGCGTAAAAAAAGTATTTTTGCTCCTGTTCGGTGAGTCGTGCGTGTTATCTCAAAATTGGATAAAACAAGATCGTGCAAAAAAAGAAAAGAGTCGCTTTTTTGTCGTTTTTGTCGAGCGGTTTCTTTCTCCTTTTCAAAGCAGAGTTGTTTGGTAGATTATGCGGTTACTTTGATCAATTTCCTCAATTTTCGTAAAACTTCTTTTCTTTTAAAAGATCTTTGTTGATCTTTCTTTAAGAAAAAAAATAACAGTTAAATGGAGTTGGACTTATAGAACATAAGGTCTTCATTATTATCTTTATTATCGATTCATTTTCGGACTTTTGCAACTTTGCGGAAGCCATGCTGCAACGATTTGAACAAATCGTAATCAGAAGGCCCCGCGCCCGATGAGTACACTGCGCAACGCATGTAAACGTCTAGAAACAATTCATTCATCAATTACTAAGCTATTATTCGAAGGTTTTTTGAGAGTTTGCGATCGGTCTTCGTCCAATAAGACTTGCTTCATTCATGGTTTTTGAGCTTTTTGGGTCCTCCAGGCCGTTTTTTGTCATTGACATCATCGCTTTTTAATCGTTGAAATCGAAATTGACAATTGGGATATGATGGAGCAGCATCACCATAAGCTGATGGACGTGTTTGCTAGGCTTCGGCAACAAATTTCATCAAACCAAACCACAAAGGTAATGAAAGTCGAAAATGTAATTTTGAGGACTCCACGTTGAACGAATCAACACATATTAAATGAAAAACTGTTAGTTTGTGTAGAGAGAGGAAGGTCAAAACGATCGAATTCCACCGTTATATTTACTAATATTTCCCATCTTTTTAAATCATTTTTACTTGTAAACTTCGCTGATCAAAATTAACGCAAACACCTAATATATTATATATTCAATATACTTGCCTTATATCAACTGATAGACTGACGTTTGACGTGACGTTTTTAAACACAATTGTTTTGGGGACTCTCCACTTTTAGTAAAATGTGTAGCGGGGTAAAAGTTCCCGTTAAAGCGATTCTTTTGATACGAATTATTTGGTGTTAAACGTATGCGGTTTGCATTTAACTTAAAAATTTCTGGCACAAATCTACGCTTAAGATAGTATTTTACAGTATTTTTTCTTTAAATAAGAAAAGTTGGAATTGGGTCATAAATTCTCTTAGATTTTCCTGCTTAAGTGCTTGACAAAAACTTTTGAAATAAACTTTTCGCATAGTTAGTTGGTCTACAATAGATGGAAAGAACTCGTTAAAAGTTCTGTTTGTAGGACTGTAGTTTAAACTGCTTATGTTGTGGATGTCAAGCAAATGCAAATAAAGCAGAAAAATAGTTGAAAGTTTTTCTCATCTTTGGAGGAGCATCTGTTTAATGCCGATTGCAACTACACAAAGTAAGTCCTTATAAAAAATGAGGGAATGCGTAGGAGGATGAGATTGGTTGCGCAATTTTCATCATATGTGTGTATGTATGTATGTATGTATGTATGTATGTTTGTATTAGTGAAGTAACTAATCATTGTATATTCTCTTCATACTCAAATCGGGGATAATCAGGATGTATATATATATATATATATAGTGCATGGAATAAAATGTTAATACCAATCAATATTGTTTGCATTTTTATTGCCTACATAAACTTTTGTTTTGTTGTCTACGTCTCAGAAGTAAGAAATTGCAAAATATTTGCCTAAAGTCTGAACATGCATTTATGCATTGGAACCTCAAGGGCATAACAAATTTTTATTTGTGGTGTTAACAATTCGAGCGATAGCGATAAGAATTCGCAAAAAAGAAACATAACCGAATACCCGATGGGGAAAGTTAAAAAGCATTCACTTTATGGGCTCGGACTTGGGAAGATCGATTTATTTACGCAGTAATCTTGTATATTAACCAATTGTTAAAAAGTGCCTACGCTTGCAATCTTATTTTAAAATAACAAAATACGGTAAAGACTCTAACTATTACGTATTTGCATTAATTTTAATCAGTGACTTTTATACGTAAAAATGATAAAGAATTGGGAAATATCAGTGTGTGAAACGATTGAATTCGTTGATTTTGACTTTCCTCTATATAAACTGATAGTTTTTCATTTAATATGATTGATTTATTCATCGTATGCCGACGCTAAAAATTACATTTTCGACTTTTATTACTTTTGTTATTTGCTTTCACGCAATCTATTGTCGAAGCCCAGCAAACGCGTCCTGAAGGTTATGGTGTTGCTGCTAAACTAAAAGAGACGACACGATTTGCCACTTTTGGGAATGGGAAGTTCTATCACACTCAGCATGGCGCCTGGCTGATTACCATTAGTTCAAATCGTTGCAGCATGACTTAGCTGGCACGCGGATCCGCAAAGTTGAAGAAGTGCGAAAATGAGTCGATCGATGGGTCGCCGCCAAATCAATAAAAGTGCTTTCGACATGCATGATAACGCCATGCCGTCAAATATGATGAAAACTACTTCGATTAATGTGCATTGTAGCATATTTTTCTCAATAAATGCCTCTTCCAAGTGACCAAAATTTTTGCAAACACGCAATAATTTTTAGTGTGAAAATTATTCTGAATGTCTTGCCAATGCGCCTCATAATTGGTCCATCGTTCGTTTAAGTGAGCTTGTTTTATTTGCCATTTTCGCAAATGATGAGCTTCTGATTTGGTCCAAGCTTGTATTTCTTCATTCAGTAGAGTGCAGTGTGTAACCTTCAAAGGTGAAAAATGTGCGTCAAGACGAACAACAGGCATGACATGAAATGTGTTTTTTCATTTGTTTAAGTTTTCAATAAAACAAAAAGCATATTAAACTAGTAACCACTAGTTGAATGCATTCAACATTTCTTCTCGATTGATGGGAAGGATTATGCGCAGTAACGGTTTTAGCGTTTGTGAGCGTAGGCGCGGACATGTCAAATATTATACGGTTTTCGTTCGTCTGTCAACTTGATAGATAAAAACAAACTCAACGCAGCTTAGTTCCTGGCGAGCCCTAACACCTGGCGGTTTTTTAACGCTCAATGATTTTTTTCCAGTACCTTAAACTTTCTTTAAGAGCATCAACTAAAAGCTATGAAAAAAAAATTAAGAATTGTGTTTTTACATTAAATTTACACACAACTAAGATTCGATAAGTGTGTCTGTGTCTGTGCATTTGTCAACGTGTCGACGTGTCAACGTATGTGATTTCTTTACACTATGAATAAAATAAATAAAAAACTAAAGTTGTGTGTGTTCATTTCACTATTATCAAATCAAACAAATCAACAAATATTCAATTCAATTGGAGCCTGTTACCCAATTTCGCTCAATATTATTATATTTAGGTGAATGAATGAATGAATGAATGAATGAATTGAATCTTGAAATTGTATTCGTTATTAACTTAACAAAATTTCAATTCAATAATTTTTTACATACTTATATATGAGTGTATGTATAATTAATTACAATTGCATATATATATATACATATATATGCATATATACATATATACATATGCATATGTATATATACGCACAAATATCTAAATATATTTATATATACACACACACACACATATATATATATATATATATATGTATATCAATATATATATATATATCAATATATATACACATATATGCACATATAACGCACATACAAATTAACAAAAGTCCTTAATAAGTTTTCTTCGAAAAATGTATAACAAAATCGATCTAAGCTGAAATATTTGAAAATGAAGGATTTTCAGGAAAAAAAAATTTTACGATATATGCGCATAGACTCGTATATATGCACTCATGCTCCCGTTCATTGTGAAAATGGTAAAAGCGTATAAGAAACTATAACATAAAATAAAAAAAAAAAAATAAATAAATAAAAAAATTCACCTTTGTTGCACATACACGCACATACATTTATATCCATTTCATAATAACATTGCAACTACCAGTATGGACAACAGAGCGAAAAACATTTTTATTCTTTACACTCACTGCTCATCTTAAAATGAGGTCATATTCCCTTAATCACACTTCGATGTGTTCGATAAATTGAAGTAGACATCCTCGTCTTTTATTTAAAATTATAATAATTTTTTACTGAGCGTATTGGCCGATTCAGCGCTGCTGGCCAACAGAATTTAATGAATTCTTTGCATTATTGCGAATTTGAAATATATTTTCCACCGTTTATTGGTTTAAATTGTTTCAATACTTTTCCGCAGGCATTTTATTGCCTTTCAGAGATCAGAGACCGTTCTATTGAGTATCTTTGTATATAGTATATAGTATAGTCAGTCAAAATGTTTTACATGAAAAGCAATATTTTATCTGACTCCTTAGAAAGGGTTTAGAATATCTTCAAAGCTCACATCATCATCAATGTTCGATTTATATCAATTTTGACATACGTATCAACTAAAAACAATTATTAGAGATCTAATGAATTACATATGTGCACATGTGTGCACATAAATATGTTCGTGTTAGAACTTAATGAAATTGATCTTGTCTGCCTGTAGTTAAGTGGCAAACTTGAGTTTCATAGAATAACTGACAATTCCACTATAAGCAAGATACGTTATAAGTTTGTCCTATAGTTCGTATAGAAGGATTGAGATGAGTATAGCTTCCGACATATTTCAAATTTTATGCTTTGCTGCGCAAGAGCGAAGAGTTTTATTGGAGCAATGACCACAACCGTAACCGTTGAAAGTTCAAAATCATGTAATAGAATGACAAGAACCACCCGATTAGAAGCCCCCCAATTATTTATCCTTTAAACGGGGGAAACAAGAGCAATACTTACAAGGCGGAAGAGATGCTTGCATAAGCGCATGAAAATCTCACACATCTTCGCTTGTCTTTGGTTTGTAAAGAGATATTATTTGTAATGATCAAATAGAGAGATTAGACTCTTAGGCACTTTAACATTTTTCCAATATTTTGAATGTCACCTCAGAAACAATAATGATACATACATGCATCCGATTTAAAACAGAATACAAGTAACGAAACAAATCGTTTTTTTAACTATAACTTCCTTTATTTTTTTTTATTATTATATGAATTTTTAAAATAATTAAATATTCATGAAAATATTTTCTAATTAATTTTTTTTTTCCCAAGGCAGCTTTAAGTGTGCAATTGTTATGATCGTCGTATATATATATATATAAATATTTATATATATATATAAGGTTTGTAACTCCGAGAAGGAAGCTTCAGAGATCTGGTAAGGTGCTGTTGACGAGCGTCTATAATTCGGAATCCATCTAACAAGGTCCGTCCGTTTGTCCGCCCATCTTGTTTAATATCTGCTATAAATTACACAAGAATTTCCCTTCTGTAAAAATGAAGAGATCGCTTTCCTGTTTGACAACGTTATGCAAATCGTTTAAATGACACGCCTACAAAAAACAATATAAGCTGAAAATATCTCTGCTTTATTGATTTTTTGCTCATTTCTCATCACCTATAATAGATATATGACAGAAGTTTCCATTTATATTCTGCAAAGAATGGCGCACGCCCACCCAGTATGAATAAAGTATGATAATCCAGTCGTATTTTTTTATTTCCTTCTTGACCTGTTTCCACGACAAAGACAATAACGGCATATGAAAGTTTTTTTTTTATTTCAATAGCTAAATACCGTTTTCTTACTTTTTGCAGAGAAATTCAGAACAATTTGGAAAATTAATAATTCTTAAGGCGCAACATTTTTATTAATACATATATGATTTCGAATAGAAATTAAACAAAAAGAAAATAATTAAGTGACCAGATGAACAGATGAGCCGAATTAATTTGATTCGAATTTTCAATTTTTCGATTGCAGATAAGAGCTCAAGTTTCTATGTATATACATGCATATATAGACAACCGAAGTTTCATCTTGAATATACCCAAGCTGGATCAAATGATGACAATCGATGCGGTTAATCAAGCGTAAATATTTTTTTGTTTATTTTACGAAAATTTCATCTTTTTAAAGATTTTCTTTTCAAAATCATGCTAAAAATAATTTCATTACACTTACAATGACGAATGAAATCTTATAATAGTTCCATATGACGTAACTGAAAAATGTTGTCCTGGCAAAAAGAGAGATTTAACTGTTCTCTCACTTTCCAAACTCTATTGATATATATCATTAATATGTTATTGTTGTTGTTATATTCCTTTTTAATTGCAAACGATTATCGTAATAAAAGATTTCGATATAAATGGTCCGACAATACTGTATTATATATAAATGTTTTACTAGTTTTTTTTTTTTTTTTGACATTTCCGTAAAATGGAAAAACATCATTGTGTACGTTGACAAAAGGCGAGAAAACATATCACTCAATAAGTTTCCGGTCTTATGGTAGCACTCATAGACAGACCCACATGATTTCTCGATACTATAAACCGTGTACAAAATAAAATATCATGACATTCTGACAATTAGTTTATAGATTGCAGTTGTGTTAGTGAGCCCAGTTTTCAAAACAATGAATAAGAGAGATTACGCAATGGTTTCCAATGAATGAAAGCTAATGTTGAACAGCTAAGCAGTGGGTTAATAAGTTCGGCAGCAGGAAAGCCAACCGCTACTGACGAACACTAATGATGCTGGTCGCGCCACGAAAGATGAAAAAAAAAGTTTACAAAATCGTTGTACAAACTGAGATTGCGTCTTGAAGATATCAGACGGCTCAGACTATATCAGACTATTTTGAATGAACATTCGTTCATGAGAAGAGGGTGAAGTGTTTGCTCAACGTATTGAGCACGGCTTGGTGCTATTCAAGCGAAATGCAAAAGGATTTATTGATGCGATAAGTAGATCTACCACTCAATGAGCGGAGTGCACAACTATCGGCGAAAGCCGTCTTCTCTAAACTTGTAAACTAATGATCGGAATGTTGTGAAATTTTGACACGAATCGCTTGTAGGTGCACACTGTTCCGAAATCCTCCAGTGTCTTTCAACGGTGTTGCCACATATGTGTCGAGTCAGAGATTTATTGAGTGATATGATAGCTAAAATATAGAGTATTGAACGTTCATGCATCCATCTATTTTTGCTTATAGATGCAATGAAAATGAGAAAGTGGAACGAAACACTAACTCTGAAGAAGATGACTCATCCACCGAATGGAACAATTGTGTACGATTTTCGGATAAACCACCTTTGGTAAGAACTAAATTTGAAAAACTGTAATGCGACTCATATAATAAGCTTCGTGGCAGATGTGTACGATTTATCCGCGATTGGATCAAGTTCAGTCAATGGGTATTTTTTTTCATCTACAGCTAATTTTTAAAGATTTCGAGAAATATTAAATTTTTTGGTTAGGAAATTTGCTTTTCCACCCTGGAGTATAATTGCTTGCAATCTTGTTATGTTATATTTATATAGTTAAAGGGTCAGACGGTCGGAGGTTATAGCGGATAAGCGCACGTGTCAATAGAAAAGTTTGCTAGTTCGTTATTAATAGATAAAACGGGAGGGTGAGGCGGCGGGGGCGGGGTCATTGTTTATCCAACAAACACGGACGATCGAAACCTTCTTTTCGGATGGACTGATGTTCCTTGCCCTGGGCTATTTTACACCCCGCTCTGTCAACGACCTCGTTCGGCCTACAATTTTGTCTGGAAGACCCCAAACAAGCGGTATTGAATTCACTGAGGTCTTACAGTGTCAAAAGAATATTATTTTATTCTTAGCGAAGGTACGTAAGTAGGTTATAGCAGATATATTACTATTATTATTATTATTAATTTCGCCAGAGAAATAAATTCTAAGACTAAACTCTTAAAAGCACTAGCATCTAAGGCTATCGGCTTTTATTATTATTATTATTAAAAACTCTACCGCACTTGAGATTCGAACCCACGACCATTGACTTGCTAGTCGAGACTCTTGCCTACTCGGCCACTCAGGCGGATATAGCAGATATAAATTGTATAGAGCCTACCAAAAAAAAACATTAATTGAAATGTGGTCCTAAATGACTAAATATGTAATTTTATAAAAATACTTTGCAATTTTGTACATATTGATCCAAATTCGAATAGCTATGTATGCAGAATATAGATTCTTTTTGAGGTGACTGACTATAGGCGTATTATTTGTTTTTAATGATTTTTTTTTTATTATAGGTGAAGCGTTTAACGATGGGTTTTCTAAAAGCCCATGAGGAGTCGAGACCTTTAGTTAATTTAGATACACCCACAGGAGAAGTTAAAACTGAAGAAAACTCAATTTCAAGAGATACGGAGATTTCGATAGACCTACAAATCTATTCTAATGGTTATGTTAATGAAGACAACTTCGGACCTGATACTTTCATTAGTAGTAAATTCGGCGACTCTTGCCGTCAGTCATTAACAGCTTTCCCAGCATTGGATATACCTAATGTGAACGATAGTAGTGAATATAAATTAAGGAACAGGCACCTTCGAGAAACGAGCAGCGGTAAATATTTCAAATTCCGTTAAGAGTATTCGTTAATATTAATCTTGCTTCTTTTACCTATCGAAAATATTTCATATAAATATATTTCCCAATTTGTTCTCCAATGCAGCGAATTCGAGTCCAAAGACATTTGCAAACCGTTTAAAATCAACGCATCCGAAATACAATCAGACCAGTACTAGTTCAGAAAAAAGCGAATGTTGGTCGTCTGAAAAAGAAGAGATTGAACTTAAAGATGCGCCGTGGTTTCAAGCTGGTATTTCTAGAGAAATAGCTGAAGAGGTATTGGCTTCGAAAAGCCCGGGTGCCTTTTTCGTTAGACGTAGTGCATCAAAGCTTGGCTGTTACGCATTGACACTTAGAATATCATCGCCTGTAGAACCTAAGACGGCTAATTATATTATATTAAATACCGTCAACGGTTACAAAATTAAGGTAGGGATAAGAAGAGAACTACGGGACATATGAACACGCACATACTAACCTCCAATACAGAATGATTTCTTCCCGATTTGGCTGCGATCGACATTCGCAGCCTATTTATTATTTTTATTTTTTTGAAAAAACACATCTCAATTGATAACAAGCTTCCAAAATTCCTTCGGTCAGCCAAATGTATAGTTAAGCAGCTTTAGGTAATAAACATCTTAGAGTGTAAAGTTGTTCTCCGTTCGCTTCAGAAATCACTCATTTTTCTACTGAAATAAAGTTAATATTTTGAGATATGTGTCATTTTCATATAATCCATACAAAAGGGGTGGGAATTCCGATCATTGCGTCCAGGAATATATTTGAAATATATATGTACGTACAATGAATGCTCTTGTATGACTTAGCTGAACCTCTTACCGTGGTCATATCTTTTTTTTTATAATTTTAATATTAATCGTCTTTTGAAATGGCGCCATATGTGTGTATAGAAGAGATATAATCAATAAATGTCTTTTCTTTTCAGGGATTTCGAAAAGAATTCAAAACGCTGAAGGCCTTAATAACGCATCATTCTGTAATGCCCGAACTGTTGCCTGTACCGTTGGCCCTGCCCAGACCTCCAAATCTATCCAGCTCTCGTCGAAATATGGACGATTTCGATACTTACGAATCTTTGAAGATGTTTTTCCAATATATAGAAGCCAATAATCGGATGGACACTTAAAGATTTATAATCCGACCATTGATTTTAATAGCTTACAGCGCATCTACAGCGAAAGAATGTATGTGTATATATATTCATTAATAAATCCTATCAGCATATGAAAAACCATGTTCGCCTTAGGGCGTATATTGAATGCCCACCAAACGCTTTCTTGCATTTTCTCACTTTCAGTTTTTATGGATTTTTTCTTTTCTTTCTTTACCGGGATACTATGTGCCGAATCCCGAAGGGCGAGGAACGGAAAAAAGCGCAACTTTAAAAATCCGTTCTTCTTTGTAACATACGTATTCTGGCTGTAATAAAACTCATTGCATTAAATAATCCAAAAAAGTTTGCAACAAAAAAAATAATATTTAAAGAAAAAAAGCTTTTACAAACGTTTCGTAATAAAACGCAGGAAGAATTTATTTTTTGTGATTTTTATCGACGATAAGGTGAGTATCAAATGGCTACTTACAGCCCTGCTTCCAATGCCATATTCTTCCAGTTTATATGTGTAATATTTTAGAACGGGGGTCCAAATTGATCTATTAATTGTTGAAAAAGAAAGAAGAAGATGAAACAAAGAAGTTGGAAGAAGCAGACAACATATTTGTTGACTAATAATTTTTTTCTTTGTTTAATAAAAGTAAGTAGAAGAGCATAAATTTAAATTCGGCGCCATCGCAAATAAATTATTGGCGATGCAAGCCACGGGCTAAAGAATTAAACAAAAAAATATTATTTTGGCAGCTTTGAGCAAAAATTTAGTTACAGCGAGAAATGCCATCGGCTACGCCTCTCAATGTTTTCATACTTGAGCTATTGGCAACAATGTTGTAAATAATTTTCATTAGTTGCATTTAAGTAAAGAAGAAGACTTGTTTGTTTGCTTTACTTATTCGCTTTGTTTATGTTCATAACTAAAAACAAACGTTAAAATTATATATTTTTCTTCTTCTTCTATTCAGGGAATCAACAACCAAAAACTTGCTGTGATGTGTGAAAAAAGACCCAATGATCAAGTATATCATGTGTTAGTAAAATCTACACACACGAACAATGGATTTTATAAATGTAGGAATGATATTTATTTAGCCGCAAAAGCGCCGTTATTTGTTAAACGCTTTGTATGGATATTTAATTTTTTTGTGGAAAAGCATTTCTTTTTGCAAAGTTTTCGCGCCGTCAACATTTTAAAATGTACTTGCATTATGACAATACTACTTATTTTAGGAAATGGCAACATTGTACAACTACGATTTTCTATTGGCAATATTCTTTACATAAAGTAGGTTTTATTTATTGTAGAATTGATTTCGTCAGAGGGACTAATATTTTGTTTTATGTTTTAATTGAAGGTCTTAACAATATTCCATCGCAAAAGAGTATGAAACGGTTTTTTAAAACTAACTTAACTGTACATGTGCGAAAACCGCAATGGGGGGCAGCACAAAGTAACGTTATGCAAAATCGATGTTTATGCAATAGCATAGCTAGACCAAGTTTACATTTGGATTTAGAATGTAAAGAAATTATATATCAAGGCTTGGTAAATCAACAACAGAGAAGAGGTTATGCACCTACAATTTCATCCACTTTAGTCAAGGAATGCTGGAATTGTAAGAAATCTCTCGACATGTCGACGGAAGCTATGATGTGTGGAAATTGTCATCACTTGCAAGACGTTGACAAGGATATTGTAAGTTTTAAATATATTCCTGATTACATAAAAATAGTGCTTATCAAATCTTCGCAGAATTATTTTAACTTAATGAATATAGCACAAGATTTCTCACTCGATGCGCAATCTTTAACTAAACGCTTTCGTCAAATGCAATCAATAGTGCATCCTGATAAATTCAGTAATAAGTATGTATAATGTGTGATTGCGAGTAATTTTATGAATGTATTTAGATGTAGAAAAATCATTTTAGGTCTTCACGTGAACAAAACAATTCAGCCGATTGGAGTTCTTTAATTAATAAGGCTTATAAAACATTATTGATACCCATAGAACGTGGTCAGTATTTGTTAAATTTAAGTGGTCTTCAATTACCTCAAGATAATAGCGCACTAAATAAGGAATTTCTTATGGAAATGATGGAGCGTAATGAACAAGTTGAAGATGCCACTAACATCGAAGATCTCAAAAAGTTGAGCAAACGTCTAAAAGACGATTTAGAAAAAAAAGTGCTCGAATTGAGTCGAGCCTTTAATGATAGTAATTTTGAGGTTGCACAGTTGTTGCTAATAGAAATGAAATATTTAATTAGCATAGAGAATAGTGTTAAAAATAAATCACAAACATTGATGAACGGAATTAGCTCTTGAGAAAGTGAGAGCGAGAATATTTCAAAGGAGATCAGATAGAGAGAGGGAAAATCGTTGTGAATTGTCATCATGAAACCTGTTGGATATTTGCAAAATTATAACATGACTCAGCTGTATTTGTACACCTCGCAGGCTTACATACGTAATACACGTGATTGATATTGATGGTGGCTTTCATAAGCTATTCAAAGTTGCGGGGATTTTTTTTTAGTATTTTCTTATACTATCAGTTATATATTTAATATTTAAGTTTTCAAATCTTAGTTTAATTGGAATGTCTAAGTAGACTCATATGTCCGTAAATTGCATAGTGAAAGATACAAATTTTCAATGTGATATTCTTTAAAATAAGCATTTTAGTTTACTCATATTAACCAACAGTGCTCAGTGACTATGTGAAATTTCGAACTACTAGCTTTTTAATTTTATTTAATAATAATAGTGAGTGTGCGCACGTTTAGGCAGCATAACGTGTAACCTGTTATGAATATATCTGCGAAAAATTATACATTGTTAAAATAAACAACAAATATTAAACAAATTTTACAAAGAAAAAATCAATAAAAAAATCGATTTATTTTCCATTTTAACTGAAACGAAATTATTTCTCTCGACATTCGAAATTAAAAGATTGTTGATCTTGATTTAGAGAATACTGCCAGCCAGCAGCTCTTTCAGCGCTATCGGCATTGACGCGGTAAAAAAAAAAAATATGCAAATCATCTTCTATTTATTATTATTATTATTTTTTATGAGGCGGAACGTTTTGCATGTTTACTTCTCTATGTAAGTTGTTTTTCGTTTTTGAACTTCCGCAATGAAAAGCAATGAACAATATGGCCTTATGGCCTCGTTGAAATACTCCGATCGCGGGAATAATAAAAAGGGCGTAAAAGAGAAGAATCAGAGGAGAAGAATCTATGAAATTTTTTAAAGATACCATACCATATATAAGAACTTTTTTCCACTCAATGAAGCAGATTCCAGAATTTTGTAATTGTCATCATGTAAGGAAAATAATTGCACATTTTTAATTGTTCCCGAACAGGGCAGTTCAAGTTTAAATAGAAATGATCCCCGCCCCCAAATTTATGCATGATATCAAAGACTATATCGCATACTTTGTGATTAACACGGTTTTTCCCCTATTTCAGTATCAAGCAAGAACCTGTCGAATACAATGACAATCAATTCTATAAATAGGAATAAAAAAGGATTTAATTAATCTAGTGTTTTGTAATTTTCTTTTTTTTGTATTTGTCAAAACTAAACGACATAGCCCTCAGAGGTACTTTTTCTTTCTATTTTTACTATCTATATCATTACTATTAAATACATTATATGTACAGTAATGGATAATGGGTTTACATTATGTGGAAAGTATCAATCTGATCGGATGGAATTATCCCCTTGACATTTACCGTATGTGTCCACATTGCTTGAGAAAGATATGTTACATTGGTGAATACTGCTGGCAGAGTTTAAAAGTGTCTTAAAATACGTATTTTTTGGAATTGCAAGAATAGAAGGATAAAATTATTTAACTTTTTTAGAGAGGTGACGATTGCAGAGCGCAAAGGAATAATTCATAACGTAGTCAATGGATTTGAAAAAAAAAAAGAAAAAAATTCTTTAATTTACATGATTTTCTCCTCCTCATTCAATACTTTTGGGCATCAAATCATAGAAGTTAAAGAACGAAATAAGAAATTTTGCATTTTATTGATTGTGACGTATTTTTGATATCGGCCATGTTAATACCATAGATGAACATATTGAAATATTTTCTTAATTGTGGGCGTGTCAGTTTAAATTTTAAATGACTTTGGAAAATATTATTTGTATTAAGATTGAGCTCAATTGCTTTCATAGCTTGTAAGTAATATTTTTTTTATTCATAATACATATATATATATATATAAATTGATCAGATTTTTTTGCCTTTAACTGAGAATAAATATATAGATTCCGTATTAATTTTTGCGACCTTGTTTCTAATGGACATATCCGTGTGTTACAAAGCAAAATTATTAATAATTAAATACATCCACCACCGAAGGATAAGAGGTAGAATCGGTCAAACTTAAACCCAAGTTTTAACTGCTTTGTGAAAACCTCAAAAACTTTATGAATTCTCTCATAGATTCTTAACCAGTGGCAAATTCGGAACGTGCCTAAGTGCACAATGTGCCGTCTGCCCAATTCTTATAGTATCATATAGTGGTCAACGTTCACCAGTTCGAAAATAAGAATATATCGTCTATAAATTTGCAAAAGAATTTGAAAATATGCCTAAAGAGGTCGAAGGACACGCCTACAGTGCAACAAAAACTAAAAACACGTTTGCTTTTCGTGCTTTTTTTTTGCTTATTATTTGGCAACTGGGATCCATTTTTTTATTGCAAAAATCCGTCAGTTCCATCGATGGAAGATATAAGAGATACGATTCTTTCGTGCAAATTTTAGCGATCGATTAATGCAGATCTGAAAATCGTTCGGTGTTTTTCTAATCAAGAGCGTGTCTGTATATATTTTTTTCTATAGCCCTCCTCGATATGGGCACGGATCGCAATTAATTTCGAGCTTTTTTTTTTTTTCTTGCAGAAAATTAATAAAAATATGAAAGTCTAGCTGGGGCTTCGTTACGCAAGTAAAATGACCAAAATTAATTCAATGCGAAATTAAAAACAAATTAGAGCAAATTTAAGCTTTCCAAGGAATATGCATAAATTGTCTCAATTTATCAAAACGCTATTAAATTAATAGAAATTATTTGCATTGAGTGCAAATTTTACTTTAACGTTAAAAAAAAACTAATTCCACGAGTTAGTGTAACGCTCTTTATGAAAAAAGAAACCAGAAAACAGAAAAAACAAAAAAAAAAACAACAGAAATAATTTTTATGAAAAATATCTATGTGCACAGTGTGTTGTTGTTGGCTGTATTGTTACGTCTTAATTGTAATTCACAAATAAGAAATAATAAATACAACAAATTTACCAGCACATGTTCATTGACGTTCATTCTTAATTTAAACGCTCGCTCAAAGGGCAGTTATTCCTTTGATTAACAGCTCGTTAGACCGTACACCGCTCGCATTGGCTATGTATTCAATATTCTATTTACTATTTTATCAACTTTGCTTTCAATATTTCGGTAATGAGTTAACGTTCGCTTATGCGAAAAGTTTTGTAAAAAAATTGGACGTGAACAATGACCCGGCGGTTAATATCAACGATGAGAACACTGAACCAATTATTGGTGTATTAAGTCAAGAAATTTCTAAATTAATTTCGAAAAAATTTCCCGAGAAAAATTATAAAAGTTATATAGCCGCATCGTATGTGAAATTTGTTGAAAGTTCAGGTGGCCGTGTCGTACCGATATGGTAAGTAAAAATAAGTGAATACTTTTTGTTTTTCTTTTGCTTAACAATTTTTTAAATAAAGTTTTTTTGAAATCCCTTAAATCAAATTCTTATGATATATATGATATATATATATATACATGTGTATATATATGTATGGGTGTGTATATGTTCGCGTGTATGCTTATTATAATCAATCAAGTTGTTTGTAACTAATCTTAATAACTAAATCTTGGAAAGTCATTTTATCAGTAATTAACGTTTGCTTCATAAAGGAAAAATGAAAAGATAATGTTATCAGTGCACGTAACGTCTCAAACAAAAATTATGGCAATGATTTAATAAAAAAATTTAAATAAATTAATAAATAAAAATAAATAATTATAAAAATAAACAATTAAATAGACTAATGAAGAAAAACCGCTGAACAAATTACATACGTTTAGAACGAATCTTGAGAACTCTAAAGTGATACGTATAATATTTTAAAATTAATTAAGTAGTTTGTAAGAAGGTATGAATGAATTCCATACGAACAATATGGAAAGTTATGAAAACAGTGTAATTTATTTATAAGAGGGCATCATCTTAGAGGATCGTATCAGTATAATCAGCAAGATCGGATCGGCGAACGGGTCCTGGATGGCTTTATTAAGGCGAAAGAAGAGGGGCGGGATGCGGGTAAGATGCAAAATAGGCTAACGAGTTCTTGATAGCTTTATTAAGGCGCTGAAAGGGGCGGGGGGATAGCGTATGAAAGGATCGATTGTAATCAGCAAGATTGGATCAAGAAGATGCGAGATAAGATAACGGGTCCTGCTTAGCTTTATTAAGGCGAAAGAAGAGGGGCGGGGTGCGGGTAAGATGCGAAATAGGCTAATGGGCGTTGGACAAATTGGAACTGAGTAATCTACCGTTCGATATATATACTTCTTTATTTATTTATGATTTTTTTTAATATAATCAATCACTCAGAAGTCATACTGCATATGTGTGAGAGACAAAGTGACGGTCAGAGAAGAGTGCGAAAAGGCAAAGAGATAGGGAGGTAGATGAGGTGTAGTGGTTGTGTGCGCCCAATACGTATGTGTCATGCCTTTGGTTTTTGTAGGTCATTGGCGATGAACTTAACGCCGCCTTATTGCATTGACTTTGAAAATAAACAAACACGCGCCACATTTTCAGTTAATAAATGTTCAAATTGTTTATTAATTGATGAGTAAACTTAATTTACGAATATTTCATATTTTTCGTGTTAAAATGATTTCCTTTAATTTTGCAGGATTGGCCAACCACGCGAGTATTATGAAGATATTATGACAAAAATTAATGGGTAAATTATTTATTTATTTATTTATTTTTTTTTTTGAATGAATTTTTTTGTTGTAATATTTTATATTCTTATATTAGGATCTTATTGCCGGGTGGAGCCACATATTTTAATCAATCAAATGGTTATCACGATGCTGGCCGTTACATATATGAGATTGCCATTGAAATGAATGATAAGGGCATTCATTTTCCCCTATGGGGTACATGTTTGGGCTTTGAGTTATTGGTATACTTATCAGCTCATCCAAAGGAACCGCGCACGTATTGCTCATCGCGAGCCCAAGCTTTACCCCTAGAGTTTGAAAAAGGTTGGGTAAAATTTTTAAATGTTCTTAGCAAAAAACTCTAAAAAAAATTTTTTATAATTTATTTATTCATTCGTTTTTAGACTACGATAAGTCACGTTTATTTGGTAACGCAAGTGCGGATATTATTCACATTTTAAAAACATATCCGGTTACAGCTAACTTTCATTTATATTGTTTTACTCAAGAGGTAAGTAAAATACGAATTTCAATGTATTCAGTTTACGATTCACGTTATGCTTAAGTTGCGTCTCGCGCCAGATAAATTGAAAGCTTCGTCACATTCCCGAGATATATAATTTGTATAGATGAATGCATATATACTTGTTTGCGTGGTAATGCTTGCATTTCATTCATTTAAATGATTTTTTTTTTTTTTAATTATTTACTTAATTTACTATAATACTTACTTACTATTAAATCAATCGAAGAAAAATGGAATAAATGGGTAAAAATTGAAAAAATTGAAATTAAAAACAAGAAATGATAAGATTTTATTATCGATAACTCTTCACTCATTCATTCATTCATTCATTCATTCATTCATTAATTCATATCGAAATAACAAAAACACAAACAATTTCTATCGGTCCACTGAAATGCTGGCAACCAAAAATCATGATGAAATTCATGAAAATTACATATCATCATATCATCATATCACAATACGTCTCCTGTGGTACGAGGGGCCGGGAATGCGTGCAATATTCAGAAATTCATCAAAATATCATATCATCTTCAAATGCCGAGTGATAACATGCGAACCGAGTTATACGTTACATTTCTTGCGATATGAGGGCAAACAACAAAAAACAACAGATGAATTTCTTATTATATCAGTCCGTCGATTCAGAATCATTTCTGCATAGAATGAAACGAAGGCCTCCTTATGTAAATGTTCTTATAAAAGAAGTTGCCGTCATGACAAGAGACATCATGTAAAATGTAAAATATATTCTAATGAAAATTTTGCTTGTATAGTTTATTAAGAAATTTGAATTGCATTCGCCCATTTTTCAGGAGATAAGCATTCAGATGCTTTTAATTTGTAATAGGCTTTGGCTCACCTTCAAATAACTGAAATGTTGAATTTTGATTTAATTCTTGAGTTTAGATTGTAGTACGAAAAAATTCGGTATAGTATTTGATGATCGATCGATCGGCTTTTCGATCGATTATAATGAGTTAATTGATTTATTTTGTTATTCGATTTTTTTATTTTCATTCATTGTTTTAGACATTTGCTGCCATGAAATTAAATGAAATTTGGCGGGTAATGAGTTTAAATCATGATTGGGATGGCATTGAATTTATATCAACAATAGAGCATCTAAGGTGAATAAATACAAAATAAATATACAATTTTTTTCTTCTTTTTTTTTTTTCTAATGATTATTAATTAAATATTATTAAATATTGAATTTTTTACTTTATCATATTTATTTAGATATCCGTTTTATGGCACACAATTTCATCCGGAAAAGAATCTTTTCGAGTTTGTTAAAAATCGTAATATTACGCATACGTCTCTAGCGATAACGGCCTCACAATATTTTGGAAATTTCATGGTGAACGAAGCACGACGTAATCATCAATATTTTGCCAATCGCACTGAGGAAGCGAATAAATTAATTTATAATTATAATCCGATATATACGGGCATATTAGGTTCATCGTTTCAGCAACAGTATCTGTTCGACGATGTGGATAATGCAAGCGATACAGTCGATAGTTTAAATACAAGTTTAATTATATTTTCAATAACTTCTGCATACACTGCCTTAAACCTAAGCCGAGAAGTATGGTTATGAAAACTTGCAAGATTTTTTGAAAAAAAAAAAAAAAAAAAAAAAAAACCAAAAAAGGACAAAATATTTATAAAGAAATTGAAATTGCGGTAAACTATTCATTTGCATACTTGTACATATGTAATTCGTTTTAATTATGTAAATAAGTCAAACAATTATTCAACAGTCAAGCCTTAAGAATGATATCCAAAAGAGATATCGAAACGCACACACACATACATAGAGAGAAAGAGAAAGAAAAATACATACATACATAGACACATTTGAATCCCTGATCTCAGGCGGGGACGATGATATATAATAGGGATATAAGGAAACCCATAAGCATCCTTCTCGTGGCAATGGGAAAGCGGTTCTGGGATGGTTTGCAGACTAGTTGGCGTGTGCTGCCACCATGCCACCCCGCATAAAAGAAAAGCACATACATACATACATAGATGAACCGATAACCGTTATGTGTGGATGTATGTATATTTTCAACTCATTATTTCATAATAAAGATAATTGTATTAATAAACGGTTTACCTCGCAAAAAATATAAAAAAATTTTCTCTACTTATGATATATTAAATATTTCAAGTATTTTCAATGCATTTATATATATATATATATATATATATATATATTTGTAAATGTGTTTATATCTATTATATATGAAATACGATAAAGTTAAGCAAACCTTTATCGTTTGTAATATTCAGATAACTATTAATTTTTTTTTTATGTTGTTGTTTGATTTACATACACATTTGTACACATTTGTATTCGACGTTTGTAAGAAAAAACAAAATGACTTTTTTTTCTTTCATTCTCCAATTTGGATTACATATCTCAAAATCGTGAAAATATGTGAAAATACGATTACGTATGCCCATGACCATAATAGCGTATTCGAGTGTAGGTCCACACAATCAATGACATATTTAAGCTTTTTGCGATATATGAATCCGGAAATTGTTTCAACCAACGCTTTACAAGGGCAAACAGTAATCCAGCTTCATTAAGCTAGATTCTCTTATCAAATAGTACCTGCCGATCGAGAAACGTCTCTAGGTTTTGCATTATATGTGACTCGATGAAGCAAGCATTCTGTAGTGAATAAGTTCTTTCTTGAGAATTATATTTTTTTAATATTAAGAAATCTGCGAAAATTGCGAACCATGCAGCCATGTTGTTGCATATTAATGCAATAGTGTTCAGCGGATAACATGCGTCTGCGCACAACGAGAGAAGGCCTTGAAATATAAATTGCAAGTAAAAGTTCGTTTTAATTTGGGGAAACGTACGATCGCTTTGGGAAAGTTAAATGTCGAACAATGATAGACTCTAATTATATGGGAAGTGTACTCAGTTTCGCAATACTTCTGCAATTCTCAACCCACTGCCTATTGTCATTTTTATGAATTGGTATAAGAAAACTAACCTCCCAGACGGTTGAAAACGTACCTGGTTTCAGAGAGAAAGTAAGCCGCCCCACTTCATGAAATCTGTATCAATAACATTCATGTTGAGAATGAACAGAGAGAGCCTCTGCGACTCTGTGACGCGTTGGCGTAATTATTTAAATTTATTTAAATCTTCTACATATGCTTGATCTCATTCGTAACTGAAGCTGCTTATAGTGGTATAGTGTTCATGTACTTTCTCCTCGTGGGTAGCGTTTGGTAATTTATTATATTCATATAACACTTTTCCTTGCTTGAAGGGGGTTTGCGTCAAAGCTTCGCTGCTCGCTGCCCTAAACATTTTGTCTACGTAAAGGACAAAAGATTTTGCGATACTTGCAAGCGTAACAAGATCTCTTTGCAACTTGTCCGATCAAATCTTGATGCTTGCTGCAAATTACCATTCATTGGAAAATAATTGGAATACATTTTCGCTTTCCTCGGAAAAATTCCAACTTTTTATGACAATTTTCCGGAGAAGCGTTAATTCTGTCAAATAAATAACGAGAACGTCATGTCATTAGTCATATCTTGTCTTTATAGATTTTATAAAAAAGAATAATTGTTTTTATGATTTTTTGTCGAGTACTACTTAAGATTACGGTTAATGACGTTGATCGGAATACTACGACAAAACGGCTATTGATCTTAATTTACAACTTTATTATATTTTACTTTCCCTGTAATGTGTAATCTTCTACAAACATTTGATATCAATCGTCTCCTAACTCAAACAACTAATCGCAATTATATGTTTATGACAATTGAAATTGAAATAACAGTAATTTATAAGAAAATCATTTTCGAAAAAGAGAAAATAAAAAATTATTTAACTTCAGTCTGAGTAAAGAGTAGGATACCATACCGTCTAAAGTTCACTGAATTCTTCTGAATTTTCAAAATTTATGGGAGCCGGATTTTTCATCATCTGATATTATTTCTGATCTAATTGCGATCATTAGTTGATAAACAGGACAAGTGCCACAAACGGGGCACAAACTTCATATTTAATCTTTTCACCGATTTTCAGTCCAGTTCAGTAACTATCTCTCGTCTGAGGAAACAGTTCCGCCCAGAAATAATACGCCGAAAGTCGGTGGAAGGTGGAAGACCTTTGTAAATGTAGAATACATGGAAATTTTGATGAAAATTCTAGACTTATCGTCTTATGAGTTCTAGACCTCTATGAAGACTTGGGAAGAGATATGGGACGGATCAAAATCGTATCTAACTTTTACATATTTTTTTTCTATTAAATCTATTGCGTAGGGAAATAACAGTTAGTAACGCACAGAATATATCAGTTGATCACGATAATCAGTTATGATTAGTGCGGATAAGTTCGTACTTTCGGTTTCGAATGCAGGAAGAAGTGATTTTCAGATTTCGATTCAAGCTCTCTTGCTGATAATGGTAAGTGACAATTCTCAATAGGGTCCGAAAATTAAAGAAACACTCCTTGGCGGGGCACTTGATAAAATTTTAGCGGAGTTTAGCCCGATTATAGAAAATTGTTGTTAACAAAGGTGTAGGTAAACGATATGTAAAATTCCTTACAGTATGTTTAATCGTTGCATTATGAGTACGAATACATGAGCAAAGGACTAAGCATAAGCAATTTAAATTAAGTGCAATTCTTGTACGATTTATTTATTAATTTATTTAAAAGCATAAAAGCTTAGAATAAAACTCGACCGTATATGAAAAAATATTAAAGTTTACCGCTATTTTGAAAGACTGCTCTTTTGACATTTCGCTGTCTATGCACAAGAAAGTAGATACTCCCAATTGCGTCTTCAGAAATCTAATAGCTGAGAAAACCCAAGTGCTGGAGAGTAACGGTTGGAATCTTTTGTACACAGACGGCTCAAAATCTTCTGGTCTGCCGCCTGCTTATGCCGTGGTAGATGCGTCAGGACAGTTTCTTCTCATTCACCTTCTTCAACTTTCATAACCGAAGTCAGGGTCATCCTTCACGCTGCGAATCTTTCCCATAAGAACAAACTCAAAACCGTCATTGTTACTGGACAGTTTAACTGTATTAAAAGCTATGCGGAATCCGTCGACTTCGAGATGGAGCATCATCGACAAATTAAGGAATATCATTACAACACCTGGCGAAAAAAATTCAAATGTGACGGGTACCTAGTCATATCGGTTTAGTATGCTGCTTCTGCACCTCTAATCATGGATGATGTCATGGAAAAGTTGAATCTTCAAAGATACATTAGAGGAAAAGTTAAAGAGAAAATTACAGAAGAAAATCTCACAATACGATCATCAGCACGACTCTTCGTCTATTCATCCTCAATTAATTCTACCTTTACACGCAACGAATGTTGAGAAAATCAAGATCCAAACATTTTCGAGAATTCACCTTGGTCATCATACAATTGTAACTCACCAATCGATCGTAAAGAAGTCTTCTATTCCAATCTGTAATTGTGAAGCAATTGTCACTATAAAGCACATACTCTGTGATTGCCTTAGCTTGACCTTGGCTAGTCGTATTGCATTTGGAACGATTAACTCTATGGACATTCTACAATCAGCTACAAAACAGAATATCAATGCAACATATATCACTTTATCAAAACTACTAGACTTAATATCTAATGTACTTTTGTAAATTACAGCCGATAGCCTGTGTTGGTAGTGCTCAGTGTCTTCTTTTTTTTTTTTTTTTAGTTTAAGAATTTATTTCATTAGTCTAAAGTTATAATAATAATAATAATAATAATAATATAAATAATGTGTAACAAATTGAATTGTCGGGTAATTTTTTTTTGCTTTCGATTTTCTTCTAAGCAATTGCAAGTAACATCATAAAAAATAATAATTAGCATGAAACAATTGACAAAGTTGAACAAATTGTTTAAACAATAGGTAATTGGTTTTATAATGTAATAGTTTTAAAAGTAGAAAATAACAAAAGCTTCTGCTTGGGAACATTGAAATGAATAGCTTCCAAAAACCACTGGTGCCTAAGGGTATTCCCTTTTAACAATTTAACCGCAAACGCAACACTCAGGCATGTAATGTCTATTAGTCGATTTTGGTCAACCTGTTATCACAAAAAGAGCTAAAGAATAAAGAAGCTCACTTAGCTACGTCGACTTAGTCACCTGAAATTTATTGATCCGTATAGATAGCGAAAATATTTATTGTCATGTTGATTGAAAAGGTTCGAATCGTATGCATACGTTAAATATGTTAGGATTATCTGACGGCATAATGACGGATGATGCATGTATGATGTAAGGAACTCGTCATAATAAATTGATGAAAATTATTGGATCAATGCTGATGATAGTATTGATAATGACGACCACAAGTGGTGGTAAAGATAGTGATGGCAACGATGAGCACTTATAACGACTTACGATCTCTTTTAAATTTCTTACCTGATGGGTGTTAAATACGGATGCTTAGGAATATAGAAAGCGCTAATATTGCAATCTTAATTGTCACACTCCTCACTCAATAGGTTCTCTTGCGTTCAATTTCATTTGTATTGGTTGCTATCTTATGGGCAATTTGTCCTCTCTAGCGCTTTTCTTTGATACAGTGAGATATGAAGTGAAATGAATGTTTTATGCCGCTCCTCTAATATGAAGGCTTTTATCAATTATACGTCTTTATGAAAATAAATGCATGGCTGTATTTGGCGAAATTTCATCGATTATCTATTAGCTAGCCTTGATCGATCATAGTGTTCTTGCTTTTTCATTGATAATTTAGATCTAAAGATGGGCGTAAAAGTCGGAAAAGTTTCAAAAAAAAAAAAAGGTAAAAATTTCCATTATATTTGCAAGCAATCCTGTTCCGTTGGAAGTAGAAGGGAGGCGAAGGGAGAGAGTTGTCTTCGTCGGTCCTGAACTAATCGAAAGCAGCACTAGCACAAGGTTCTATGAACTTCACTACCAATTATTGTCAATTTTTTGTGGCGGAGACTAAGCGCATATAAATTTTGATTTCAATTCTGAGTGTGTGTGTTTGTGTGTGTGTGTGTGTGTGAGAGAGAGAGAGAGAGAGAGGGAGAGATATGCCACATTGACGGTCACGCAATCAATAATATGGGAATGGGTCGAATATGTTAAAAGGAATTTTCTTATTTTTCCCGAACTCGTTTAATACAATTTAATGCATATTGTTCTGTTTTGTTCTAATTTTTTCCTTCTTACATATATACATATCTACATACATATTGGTGTACGTGTAAATGCTTCATATGACGTACGGTGATGGATTCACACTGTACTGTGAGGGCGTGTCCTTCGACCGATTTAACCCATTTTCAATATCAATCTGCTTGCAAGAGATTTAAATATTCGCTGCCAGGAGAATGGTTATAACGCACATTACATAGACAGGCGGACACGCAGATGGATAGGCGGATATAATGAAATCAATTTAGAATTTGATGCTGATCGAGAATATATATAATTTGTGGTGTCTATGACGCTTTCTTCTGAGCGTTGCAAACATTTTGATCAAATGTATATTATATTCAACGTCTTTCGGTGATGGGTATCCAAAAACAAAAAATTCATTATGGTGAATATAGTATATGAGTAATATTTGTTTATATATAACACTCATACGCAATGCTGCCTATTCTTAACTATATTCGACGCTCTAGCATGCAATAAATTTGCTTTAACGTGCGATTTGTTTTTCTTTCATATTCATTTCTCTTAAGTCTTTTAATTGTTTATTTTATATGCACTCTGTATGCATAGCTATTTTCTGGGTGGGTGGGTGTACACATGCACAAATTGATATCATATATGTACAAAAATTACAAGAATACTAACAATTCATATTTTTATTACAATTCAAAAAATAACTATTCGCCAGTTTAACGTTATTCCTAAGCAGAGCGTTATAAGAAACGGATTAAAAGCAAAGAAAACTTTTTAAGAAAATTGTAAAATTCGTAAAATTGAATAAATATTAATCAATATTTAAGTTCAGTATTCAGTAACAACGATAGCTCTTCGATTATGTGCGGTAAAGATTACTCGCCATTAATTGGCATCCTCTGTATGGATATCGCTCAAGAGCTGCAGCGGAAATACGGTGATGATATCCATAGTTATATATCGGCAGCTTATGTTAAATATCTAGAATCGATGGGTGCGCGGGTAGTACCAATATGGTATGTTGGCATATTTGCGTGTTTTTTTCACAACACCATTAATGTGTCGTTGATTTCATTAAATTTTTTTTATTTACCTTTAAGAAAATTGCAAAAAATGACATTTTTCTCAATGATGACGTGGTGTCAATAATAATAATAATAATAATAATAATAGTTGTTGCATAAATGCTAAATAAAAAGAGAGAATGACAAAGAGAAAGAGACAGCAAGAAAAGGAAAAGAGAAAAATAATTTGTCTTCTGCTTTGTTAAGATATGTAAATAATTTGCAAGGAGAGTGAAAGTTTTCTCAGAAAAGAAAGACTTTTCTTTTTTCTTTTTTCATGTAAGCAGAAAAGCTTAAAAGCTTATATTATATAAAATTTTTCGATGATGGAAACGCTTGCTACTATTGTTGCTAGATAAAAGAAAAAGCTTTTAAAAACTTTCGTAGACGATGGATTTCTTCGAAAGCTTGAACTAGATATCTAGATTTAGACTTTGTTAGAATTGATCATCTTGTGGAAAAAAAACTAGCAAACAAGCTACAACGCTATAGTGGGACGAGACCCCCCCCACCCTTAAGTACTCTATCTAACTTCGCCTAATACAGATGTTTATGTAACGAATTTTCAATATGAGAAGTGGTTGAAGAAGTGGTTCGCGGCGACGAAGTATTAGCAATAACGTTAGTTCTTGAGTCAAGCTAGGTCCGTGTATCAAATTTAATTAGAATATCAATTGCGACCTGTTGGATTAGGTTGAACACACAGGTAAAAAGGATAGTCGGATAGACAGACAGACAAACTTTGATCGATTCAGAAGTTGAATCTGAAGCGGCCAGTATAAGTCCTATACCCATATTTACATATTTTAAGTCTTTCTGGGTATTGCATGCACCTGAACATACTTAACATACCCTCTGTACAGTCAGTGTTATAGGCTGAGGACTAATTTTTCTTTACCTAATCTATAAAATATTAAGTCTAACAGAGGAAGAGTTAGACCAAGTTAATTGAATGAAGTTAATCAAACGAATTCGCTGAATGAAAAGAACGCTTAAATGTATTTTGATCTTTAGAAGCATCTCAATATAAACGATTTTCGGTAATTTATACGTAACGTTGTTAATGCTTGATTTTTTTTTTTTTTTTTTTTTTTTTTTTGCTCACAATACGTTGATGTACATCTAACAACAACTCGCATTAAAATGATTTTGAATTTTTATTCTTTAATTCTTTTCAGGATTAACCAGAAACGTACATACTACGAAGGTATTATGAAAAAGGTTAACGGGTAAAACTATTATTTATAAAATAAAAACTTTATTGATATTTATGCTTTTAGCATTTTACTGCCGGGTGGTGCGGTCTTCTTAGACGATAGTAAATGCACTAAAAATCTGCGTAACGATTGCGTGCAAAGTTCAAAATTCATTTACGAAATCGCTGAAGAGATGAATAAAGATGGAAAATATTTTCCCCTATGGGGTACTTGCCTTGGTTATCAGTTAATGCTGTTACATTCCATTAAAGGTAATAGTAACGACATTAGGATAGAATGTAAAAAGATGGAATGCTCTCTTCCCATCAACCTTGAAAATTCTTATGGTGCGTACATTCGAAACATATTTATAAGCTAAACAATTGTTAATTGGAAAGGAAATAAAATAGTTTTACAGAATTCTAAGTTATTGAAAGACTGCAATGATGAATTAGTGACGGCTATGTCCCAATTACCTTTCGGTTATCATAATCATCGGTATTGTATAACGAAACAGGTAGGATTTTGAAAAATTTCTTATCCTTTATTATTTACAAAAAATGTTGCATCAGATTCTTGGCGATTTCAATATAGCGGATCAGTGGACCGTATTGGCGACCAATAAAGACTCGGAAGGCTTAGAATTTATAAGCGTTATAGAGCATAAAAAGTAAATGTATATATATATATATATATATGTTTTCATAAGGTGAAATTTATTCTCTTCAACTTACCTTTTGTAGGTATCCTTTCTTTGGTATGCAAATTCATCCGGAACAGATCTACTACGAATATGATGACTACGATGATGAGCGTAGTCGGTGTCATTCGTTTCGTTGCCTCGAGATAACACAATATTTTGCAAAATTTTTTGTTCAATGCTGTCATCAAAACAAGAATTTTTGCACGAAAGCCGAAGCGTTATCTTATTTAATATATAATTTTCCGATTGAATTTACAGCACCCTACACTACTCGACAGCAATGTTATTTATTTAAGAAGAACGTTGATTATCCCAAAATAAAATGCGAATCGACGAACGCACTTTGAATGATTATATCTGGTCATAGCAAGCGAAGTTAAATACTTTTGTTGTTTCATTTTCAAACTTGATCCTACCATAGGTTACATTTGCCTTTGTTATCAAATTTCTGTAAAGCAACGATACAGACAATAAATGCATGAAAGTGTTACGATTGTGTTAGTATTACAATTTAATATAAATTTTATACATTGTTTTATAATATATTGATTGCCATTTAGACCTATTTTGACAACAGTGATATTAAATGTAAAAGAAAGATGGAAAGAATTTCACTAAATAAAAATGAAAGTATTGTGTAGAAGTAAAAAAAAAATCGCATTTTCTTTCTCTTCTAATGTATTAAATTTCTCGAAACTATTATGCATTTAGAGAGCTTAGTGCGATAGGGATATACATACGTATATTTTTATGAAATATAAACAATGGAAAAGATTTAATTATTGGTCTTGGTTACTTAAAATTCTATCACCAAATTTGAGAAGCATTGTTACCGCCAGCTTAAGGTGCCATAATTTGCCAAAACTTCCTTCTAGATCATGCATTTGTTTGCTTGTAGAACATAATAATCGCTGTTTATTATAAACGTTTCAAACATTTCGTGTTCGATTTAATTATCTCAATTATGGCTTTGCAAAGTTTTAGCAACAATATGATGACATATTATGAGTGAAAAGTAAGAAGGATAGTTTTTCTGTATTTTGACAAAATTATGTAATCGAAATATGCATCGTCACTTACTATTATGGTCTTTTGCCTTTTATCGGAGTAGAAATATTGTTGACTCATCTCTTTAGCATCTCTTCAACTTTACAGAATCGTTGATCCGTTCAATCAGAGTAAGGTAATCAGAAGGTGTTAAATCGGGCGAATTAACTGTAATAGAGAGAAATTCTTAGCTCCGAGTTATCGATCAATTCGTGGATTGCTTTTACTGGAGACGGACGGACATATGCGAATTTATATTGTAGTGATACCACTCAATATTTAAAGGTTCGTTTGAGTCTTTATTAATTTAAAGTCTTTATTAACGTTTATACTTATATTCTGACTTTTCTGAGGTATGCTCAGGTGTCTTATATAACTAATAAATTAATGCTAACTTAAGCGAATAGTATAATTAAAAGTAGGTTATAGCTTACTACTAATATATGAATTGCTTATTACTAAAATTCCACTACCTTAACTAGGTTAGTAGGAAATTGTTTACTTAGCAATAACTTGTAGACTACGGTAGAGTTCGACTGATCGATAATACTACAATATAATTTTCGGGAGTAACGTTTTTTGCATAATACCTTCCTTTCCAATGTTATCTAATTTTTTCATAGCTTACATATATGGCAAATAACATGTCGCGCCATAAATATTGTTTGTTAATATGCATCTCTTTGCAACTTGACACACATTGAACGGGAAGTTGTAAGTAACGGAATCCTATAAACTACAAGCATCAATATCTAAACTATGCATATCTAAACTTTGGGAAAAGATGAATTCGTCATGTACGCATTTTATCAAGCAATCAATCTAAATTTACAGATCTCAGATCATGTTATCAGTTTGGGGAAAAAGAAATCCATTATTTTTATATGAACTTGAGGACTTTATTTAACATGCTTCGGATTGTCCGATTTGGGTCAAATATGCACCGTTTTGTTGTATGATTTGTTGCCATTTTAAAGGTAACTTCAAAATGCCTCTCTCATAGAAGTCCTGGTCTCTATTTGCAAAAAACTCTAGTAGTCGATTTTCACAATCCTCCCTAGATTCCAATTTTTTATCATTAAAGAAATTTTGCAATGCAAGAAAAAGATGATAAACGCTTGGTGTCAAGTCCGGACTGTATGGCGGATGCATTAAAACTTCCCAAACAAGCTCCCGAAGTTTCTGGCGAGTCACTGTAGATGTGTGTGGCCTAGCGTTGTCCTGGTGGAACACGACACCTCTCCTGTTGGCCCATTCTGGCCGTTTCTGGTCAATCGCTATCTTCAAATAGTTCAGTTGTTGACAGTAGAGATCAGAATTTAGCGTTTGGCCATATGGAAGCAACTCATAATAAATAATCCCCTTCCAGGCCCACCAAATGCATAGCAAAACCTTCCTGGCCGTTTGAGGTGCTTCACCGCTCTTCGACCACGATCGTTTTCACATAGGGTTATCGTATGTGATCCATTTCTCATCTCCAGTCACCATCCGTTTAAGAAATGGGTCTATCTCATTCCGTTTGGCCAAGGCTTCGCAGATGGAAATTCGATCCATCATGTTTTTTTCTGTTAATTGGTGTGGCACCCAAACAACGAGCTTCTTTTTGAATCCAGCTATGTGTAAATGGTTTAAAACTGTTTTATGGTCGATTTTTAGCTCCTGGGCGATGTTACGACTGCTAACATGCCGGTCAACTTCGATCATTTCTCCGATTTTATCGACATTTTCGACGACCGGCCTACCTGTGCGAGGTCCACATAATTGGCTGTTACAGTATCGGAACCATAAACACCATTCACAATTTTAACCGCCTGGCTTGCATTTTCGCCTTTGTCAAAGAAAAACTGTAAAATGTATCGAATTTTCTCTTTGTTCACTTCCATTTTTGACACGCTGTAACTCACAACTGAATGCACCAAACAAAAAACAGCAAAAGAATTTTTTTTACTGCGAAACGAAACTTTCCAACGAGCATAAATATGAAATTGTTTGATCGATACTTTACGAGAAATCTATCAGTGCAGCCATCTACCGAAAAAATAATGGATTTCTTTTTCCCCAAACTAATATTTTCCCACTTATTAGTAAGATTATTAATAAATTTTTTTATTCCCGCTTCATTTTAATGATTTGAGGAACGTTTCCTAAAGTTCCTTGTTATAGGCGACTACTTTGTCATGCTTTCTTTCCCTTGGTCATGCCCCAAGTGCGTTGCGAACCGGTGCATTTTGATAATATTCATATAGGTGTTATTCAATAAAAACAATTTATAACAATTTATAGTGGATCAAAGCCAAGATCAAAAAGTCAATACAATTCGTCTTTTGTTTTCGTAGTAAAATATAAAAAAAAAAAAAAAAAAAAAAATAAAAAAAAATAAATAAATAAAAATAAAAAAAAGAACAAATTTTGTTGGTATATATAAATAAGACTTATACAGATTTTGTTGCTATATGTAACGCTTATATGGGGTATAGAGGTCTATATAGTATAAACATAGCATAACAATTTTACCGCTTTACACTTCTTCGCATCAACGCTTACATTATTTGAAAGGTATATCCAAAAAAAAAAAAAAAAAAGAAAAAAAAAACACGTGTGCAAAGTGTTAATGTATTAAATGACTATTATGTAGCGATTGTTGTCATATAAGACGGCAAAGTCATGTGTAAATGTTTATGGTTCGTAAAAACATCATATTCTACAAAGGTTCCCATCGCCTGCAAATACAGAAAAACTTGAAAGCGAAAAAATTTCTAAAAGATTTCCAGATTCAATTTATATTCAATAGGATTCGTAACGTGGTGAAGACGATGTTTAGTGCACAACCATATTAAAGTCTTTGTTGCGACAAAAATTCTCCTTCTCATTAACATCTACGGTATTTGTCAGCTATGTGTGCTTTACTGATACGAAGACATTGTTAAGCGTATGCGGCATGACGAACTTGTCGAAAAGACTTTCAATTGTCCATATATAAGAGCTAGGATATGAAGGACGATAATCAATTTTCTATATGAACTGAAGAGGAATTATGATAAAAGGTTTGCATAATTTGTAAAGGTCATCATCCGAAAGAGTACTTAATCCACTTGCATGAAATGCCAGAAGAAATCGAGACAATTGTCACGTTAAGATTGATAGGTGATTGATAAGTATGATCTTATTGCAAAAGCTCTCTATGAAACTGAGTAAGATTTTCCTTTTGACTTTTTGCGTGAAAATTTCAAAATTCAATTTTCATCGTTTGGCGAAATCAATCCTCAATAATAGATATATAGTTAAGTTACATTTATGTGTAAACGGGTGGATAGACACTTCGCTGGGACTCTATTGATTATATCAGAGTATTGTAAGATTGCAATGACTGAACAATTTAATTTGAATGAATTCAAGCAAAATGCATGAAATAAAATTTATCGCTAATTAAAAGCAAACATAGAACAGTCTCTCCTTGTTATTGTTGTTGTTGTTGACAGATAGTATGTAGTAGTAAATTATAAAGAGGACATTTTTATTACTCCTCTAGTAACGCATAGTGTTAGCCGACTACGCCATTCCGGAGAATTAATTATTATTATTTTAGTATTTTAGAGAGGCTTTGCTTAGAAACTCATTATCTCTTATTATCTTTAATGAAACTTACCGTTGAGAAGATTAAAATTCGCATAAATATTCGTTTCATACCTCTGGCATTGATGTATTTGTGTGCGTGTGTGCCCGTGTATGTGCCCGTGTGTGTATGTGCCCGTGTGTGTATGTGCCCGTGTATGTATGTGTGTGTGTGTGTGTGTATGTGTATGTTATGTTTATTTTAAGATCCTAAGAACATGCTAAACATAATAATAACAATAATAATAATAATAATAATAATAATAATAATAATAATAATAATAAAAATGAAAACAATAACAATTTATAACCTTGTGCTTAATTTTGTTTCCATTTTCTTTTTTTAATAACATAAGTATGAAAGTATAAAAAAACTAAAATAAAAATAAAAAAATAAAAAAAAAAAAAAAAAAGGACAACATTTTAATAGCATATCGTCACGAATACAGAATATGGTGGTGGAAACGTTAGAGAGTGAGAGATAAAACCGCAAACTACACCACTTAATATCCGTTGTGTACAGTTCTGAGAGGTTATACGGATAAGTGTCAGCAAAACTAATGACGTCATAGTTTACCTAAATGCAAAAATTCTGCATACAAGCTTCTAATATTGTTGTTGTTATTTCTGTTGCAGCTGTTATTCAAGTATATGAACAACATTGTAGCATATTTTTAACCTAGTTTACGTACATTGAACTTTTCATATTTTGTACGTAGGGTGTGTTTGCACATAACGACAAAAAA